AAAGTTAATATTTATTAATGTATGAAAATTGCAAGATGGCCATTGTAAGGGGCAAATGTATCTTGCCATCCGCAATTTTATGTTTTCACACAGAAATCTTTCAATAGAATCCTTCAGTTATCTTCTGAGAATCAAATGCATTTTAGCACCTAAATTTCTCCATCATGTTGTTTGGACCTATGAAGTCCCACTTTCTTGGAATCTATCGATTCTACAGCTGCCTATTGCTGATTGGTTTAGGTTGAGTGTCCGTGGTGGGGTCCAATATGATCAGCCCTTAAGAAACCATTAAGAAACCATTGTTCAGTTGTCCCAAGAAGAGGAATGAGGGATTTCCTTTGGCCTCCCGTGTCTCTGTGTATTTTAATCCTTTAGAATATTTACATGCCATTTTCCTCCTGGATAACAGGACTCAGGCCCTGACCTCGCCCAGGGTAACCTGATCTCATCAGATCTGGGAAGTTAAACAGGGTTAGCCCTAGCTAGTATTTGGATGGGAGAAGTCCAGGGTTGTGACCTGGAGTCTGGCAATGGCAAACCACCTCTGTGTGTCTCCTGCCTTGAAAACCCTACAGGGTCACCATATGTCAGCTGTGACTTGATGGCACTTTCCACCACCAGCAGAACTCAAGAGCAGTGTTCCCTCTAAGCTGAGTTAGTGTGAGCTAGCTCACATTTTTTTAGCCTCCAGCTCACACATTTTTGTCTCAGCTCAGGAAGGAGGGCCCCAGAGCAAACTAGGTTATGCAGTAGCCAAATTGCTCGCTCACAACTTTAATGCTAGTAGCTCACGAAGTAGGATTTTTGCTTACAAGACTCCACAGCTTAGAGGGAACATTGCTCAAGAGTGCTTGACCAACTTTAAAGTCATAAACAATCTCAGATCACTGTATAATAAGTCCAAATACATCAAGACGTCCATTACTCACATGCCTGCTGTTACAAAGCTTCAATTGGCACCCAGCCCATTCTTGACATCATTCACACCTCAAAAGCTTATTTCAACAATTTAAGAAAGCTCCAGAGAAGCAGTTGATCATGCGGGAGGATACTACACCATCCAAAAAACAACAACGTTGCCTGACACAACAAGAAAAATGGGCAATCTGCAGTCCAAGATGGTAGCACCTCCTCCCTTCTCAGTACCAGGTGGCAGGTCTTTATACTACATCTAGGAAAAAGATACCCACACCTGGGTGGCCCAGGCTAGTCTGATCTCATGAGACCCTGGAAGCTAAGTAGGGCCAGCCCTGGTTGCTACTTGGATGGGAGGCCATCTAGAAAGCCCAGGGTCGCTACGCAGAGGCAGGCGATGGCAAACCACCTCTGTTTGTCTCTTGCCTTGAAAACCCCACTAGGGTGTAGAAGAAGAGATTGGATGTATACTCCGCCCTTCACTCAGAGTCTCAGAGCGGCTTACAATCTCCCCCCCCCCTCTCCCCACAACAGACTCCCTTTGAGGTAGGTGGGGCTGAGAGAACAGCTCTGAGAGAACAGCTCTGAGAGAACTGTGGCTTGCCCAAGGTCACCCAGCAGCTGCATGTGGAGGCGTGTGGAATTAAACCCAGTTCTCTCAAATTAGAGTCCATGCTCCTAACCACTACATTAGACTGGATCTCTCTGCAACTCAATGGCACTTTACAGACACACACAGACAGAGGCAGAGAGTGGAGTTCTGCAGGGGGGATTAGGAGCTGGCAATCTGTAGGCAGCAGCCTCTTTTGCAGGTCAAACCAGTTTCCTTTGCTTATATATAGAATAGGACACTTTAAAAAGTAATGGATGTGATCCTCAATTTCTCCTGTACCATAGAGCCAGAATATCAGTAAATCTGCCTTTCTCTGGCCCGGGCAGCACCCAGGGCCATTGACCCACTGGGACTTTTCCTGGGGTCCTTAATGGCCCATATGCCCCTGCTTAGAGTTAAGAAACAGGTCTGAGAAATTCCATAGCATGGCCATGGCCCTATTTCAGACACACTGATACTAACAGTGCCTTCCCAAACAGAGTTACACCCTCTTCTAGGGTCCTCAGTGTCAATGGGCTTAGAATGGTGAAAGTTTGCTTAGGATGGTGATGTTGGTGATATAAGAAAAATGGGGGCATGGGTCAGAATACAGCCAAGCCCTCTCTGTTTAATTTTGGCTCTGCCGGTCTAGTACGTGCCACCCAAAGCTCCATCACAGCCTTAGCTCAGTTCCTGTACCCAGCCGTCTCCTTTGATTAGCCCTTCTGGCAATAGGAGATTCCCTCCCAATGTTCAGCCACCGTGGCAAAAATCTGAGAGGTGCATTGTCTGTCTGCAGCTTCTGCTGGAGCAGAAGACGGTTCATTTTGCCTAGAGGCCTCTGGGAGATTCTCTTCATTTACTAAACCCACCCCTTGCTATTAATTATCTCCCTCAATACGGCTCTCGACAGCTTTATCTGAATGGCTACACTAGTATCTCCCCCGACAGGACAGCGACTGGCAAACGTGTTCAGAGGCAACGGGGGAGGTAGGCAGCAGTGCATGGTATGTGCAGCACACTGGAGCTGTTAGAGGACTCCGTTTTTTAATCCGGAAAACATAGGACGTGCAGCCACCTTGACAGTGCTTCGTATGTTCTGATTTTCATACCCAGGAATTTTGTAGCTTCATGGAGATGTGCCCAGCACCCAAAAGCTCACAAAAGGATGAAACTGGATATATTGAATGCTTTTCTTAAGACAGGGAGCAGGACAAAAGAAGGTCGTAGAGTAAACTTTGTAGCACTGGATGGGGACTTGGATCATTGACCATTACAATATACAGAACTTGGATATCTTTGGCAAGGGCTTGGGGGCATAGGAAGAAGGGCTGGGCGCATGTATGAGTAGGCTGTCTAAAGCTAAGGGGCATTGGATGGGACTGAGATGGCATGGGATACTGTTGGAATCTGCAAGTTGCTTACATTTTGGTCATTATGGAGTTGACTGTTGTTGTTACTAAACAAGTTGTTACATAATTGAGTTGTAACCCATTACAAGTATCTGTTGTCAGCCTGGGAAATTTTGGGGGTGTTACTTAGTAAAATGCGTTGACCTGTAACCTCTTCATTGGCTGTCAATAGACTGATTGGAGGAAATGCTTTGATCTTGTATTCATCTGTTTACAGGGTTTATTGCTAATTTTCTGTGGTTTGTTTTCAGACTAAGAAGAAGAAGCCATTAATCTGTATTTTTCTAGCAGTAAAGATGTAGCCTGTTTAGCTATTGTTTCTTTTATAACTTCCAATGTTCCCTTCCCTTTTGTTTTCAGTAAACTTAGAACTGTCTTCTGTATAAACTTATACACAGTGTGTGGCTCTCGTCTTTGCATTCAGCCTTTATTTAAAGGCCAAAAACCCAACAGATACAGAAGATTTGTGACCTTTCCTGCTGCAAGCTATTCTACAGTTTTATTTTTATTTATTTAGTCAGGTATTTATGCCCTGCTTTCCTCCCCAAGTGGGGACCCAAAATGGCACACAGCATGTGGAGAAACGGGGACCCACCCTCAGCCCTGGGAGACTGAGCAGTCATTCTGTGGCTCACAAGCCCGTTTTTGCCTTCCCACCCTTTTCTGGTGGGGCTATTTTCCTTCGTTACACACTGCCACCATTCACTGGATTTACACCGCCTTCCTAGAGGGACAGTGAGACCCCTCTGGCTGATTCCCCCACCTTGGGAAGTTGATACCACAATCTTTGGGCTCCCCCTGGAGAGTTGGCAACCCCTCCGATTTGGGCCTGTTTGTGTTCCCTGGCCTCATTTTTGTTTCTGGTACTGTGCCGAGTTGGGAGGACTAAGTGGTTAAGGCACACCAGGTCTTATTTAACTCAAAAAATGTTTATTTTAACTATGTACAAGTTAAGCACAGAAAATAAACACAAGCACATTAACACAACCTGGGCAGAAAATAAACACGATTTAAAACACCATTCTTCTGTCCCCTACACACCCTCACTGTCTCTGGAGGTTGTGGAGAAACCCCAGCCCTCCACTGGACTGGTCACTGGTACTGTTGCCTACCACAGTTTATAGCGGCCTGGATGCCCTGGAGTTTGAGGCAACAGGAGCCCCCACCTGTCTACTCCCTTGAAGCTGCTGTCCACGCTGATCCAAAGGACAGCCTGAAGACTGAACTCCCCCTGCAAGAGCCAAAGCCTTTTTCTCCCTGGCTCTACCCCTGGGGTGTGTCCATATATTCCTGCTCTTTTCCCCTAGCGCTTCTGGGAAATGTAGGCAGGCAAATGAGGACGTCCCAATCAACCCAGTTAGAGTTACCCCTGCAGGCCCCTGTCAGGAACTACAGGCCACTTACCCTTATGGGGAACCATTTTAAATACCAGGTACAGATGGCCTCCATCTTACACACCCAGGTAAATGCCATTTCGTTACACCGCATCTCAGCACCTTCCTTTTATCTTCACAATAACCCCGTGAGTTGAGAATTAGTGACTGGTCTGAAGTTCCAGAGTGAGTATTCATAGCAGAGTAGGGATTTGAACTGGAGTCTCATGGATCCTAGCCCAACACTGACCACTACAAAGGTTGTCCGGGTTACAAATGAAGTTTTAGCACCAGTTCTGCACTGTATTTTATCACTGTGGAATGCAAGAGAGTACTTTGGATGCAGCCAGGCCCAACTCTGCTTCTGCCTCTCTCTGGTCTGGTTCCAGATGTTCTGTCCATCTGAAGGTCTTGAGATGGTTGGGATTGTCTCCTGACCTTCCCTTGCAACTGACAGGTGCTCACTGCTCAGTTGATGACTAGGACCTGGCAAAATGCTTGGCCCAAAACATGGGTATGAAGTCAAGCTACTCAAGAGAGATGTCTAGCCCCCAAGCAACCCATGGGCCATCCAAACCCCGGGATCTGAATCCTGAGCTTATTCCAGACCACCTGATTTAATCCCCTCTCTTGGTTAGGAACATGTTGGGTGGCAAGTCTCCCAGTAACACTAAACCAGAGGTCCCCAACGTGGAGCCTGTGGGTGCCATGGTACCTGCTGACATCTTTCCTGGCCCCCACCAAGAAAGTGGGTGGAGCCAGGTTGAGTATATGCCTCAGCAGGGCTTCTGATTGGCCACTGGAGAGCTCATTGGCTGGACAGATTAAAATAATGTTGTTTCAGAGGCAGCTGCTATCAGTGTTGCTTTTATTCTGTCTCATGCGGCCAGGGGTCATTTTGTAGAAAAAGAGGTGCAGGAGCTCATTAGCATAACTCATTAGCATAACTTATTTGCATATGCCACACCCCCTGACATCACCGGAAGTGTGTCAGAAGGCAACACAGGCTCCACTGGACTGTTTTGGATTGCTAGCTATTGGGGGGGGGGGCGTGCAGATCTGTCCTCACAGAGGAGGGAGAGCTTGTACCTGAATAAAACTTGGTCTTAAAGGTGCCACTGGACTGTTTTGGGCCGGGGGGCTTGGAGGGGGGCTCTGCAGCTTACCTGGCTGCTTCTTGCTCTGACTGAGGGCTGCTGGGAGCAGGGGGTGGGGCTTGTTGCATGTGCCCGCCCCCTGGGCTCTTTACTGCCAGAGCTCCGCTCCTGTGCGCTCCTGCAGGAAATGACCCCTGCTCATGCCTCTTTCCCAATGTAGTATTTAAATTACTCCCCGTTTCCATTGCACCTCAGCTTCCCCTGTTTTTGTGGTGGCTTCGTCTCCTGCAGCAGTCACGCTATGGTCGTGCCCACCACCCTGTGTCAGAATTCCAAAGGGGCCTGCAGGCTCAAAAGGGCTGGGGACCCCTGCACTAAGTCTCCATTCCCCTACCCGCAAAATGCAGGTGGCAATGAGTTCCCTAGTGGGATGTTTACAAACCAAATGGTCAAACCTTGTGTAACCCACAGCCACTGTGAAGCACTTTGTTGCTTGTTGGTGTGGTCTATTCAAATATGCAGCATACAGCGTCAGCCAGGAACGGACGGATCCTAGCAGCAGCGATGTTCAGCAGTCTGTAAAGTAGATACCAGGGCTTTACAGTTGGTGAAAGCAATGTGAGCAATGTGGGCCACCAGGTCAGAGATTACATGGTTTAAGCAAGGAAACTGCAACTGGGAGGGAACAACCTGCCTAGAACTTTGTTTATGACCTGCCTCTGTAGGGTTACCAACCTCCAGGTGGTGGCTGGAGATCTCCTGGGATTACCACTGATCTCCAGGCAGCAGAGATCAGTTCACTTGGAGAAAATGGCCACTTTGGAAGGTGGACTCTATGCCGTCATACCCTGTTGAAGTCCCTCCCCAAACCCCACCCTCCTTAGGCGCCTCCCTCCAAATCTCCAGGTATTTCCCAGCCAGGAGCTGGCAACCCTACCTTCCTGCTGGGCTTCTGCAGCAGCTTTGAACACATGGCCATGACCCTTCCTGGCTTCTCCCCACATCTGAGTACTCCCTCCCTGTGCCACGAATGATTCTTGGTGTGTGCTCGGAACTAGCTGACCATGATAGATCTTGCCTTTTCATTTGACTTGATTTGATTTATTTAATTTGTATCCCGCCCTCCCGGCCAAGGGCGGCTCAGGGCAGCTTACAGAACCGGGTAAAACTTCCAACAATACATATAAAAGCACAGTAACAGTTAATATAAATACAATGTTAAAACCAAACATGATAATAAAGTGCTAGCATAGTACTTCACTTTTATCGTCGGCTCCATTGGTCTGCTTCAGTTGTTTTGGGGGGTTTGGCTCGGGCAATGATTAATGCCCTGCTTGTGCTTTTCTTGAGGCCATCATCCAGCTACCCATTGTTGGAAACAGGATGCTGGTAATCAGGGGTCATTTCGTAGAAAAAGAGGTGCAGGAGCTCATTAGCATAACTCATTAGCATAACTTATTTGCATATGCCACCCCCCCTGACATCACCAGAAGTGTGTCAGAAGGCAACACCCACTGCTCAGGCTCCACTGGACTGTTTTGGATTGCTAGCTATTGGGGGAGGACGTGCAGATCTGTCCTCACAGAGGAGGGAGAGCTTGTACCTGAATAAAACTTGGTCTTAAAGGTGCCACTGGACTGTTTTGGACCGGGGGGCCGGGGGGGGGCTCTGCAACTTACCTGGCTGCTTCTTGCTCTGACTGAGGGCTGCTGGGAGCAGGGGGTGGGGCTTGTTGCATGTGCCCGCCCCCTGGGCTCTTTACTGCCGGAGCTCCGCTCCTGTGCGCTCCTGCAGGAAATGACCCCTGCAGGTAATAGATCCAGTTCAGTGTGATCCTGCAGGCCTCTCCTGATGTTATGATCTCTCAGTCTGTTTGCAGGCCCCCAGGATGCCTTCCCTGGCCTGCCCCCAGAGAATGGACACGCAGCCGTGGGCGCAGACCTGGAGATGGAGCGACGCCTGGCCCCACACTGCCACCTCGGGCCTTGCTCCCCCAGCCAGAGCCAGCTGAAGTTCCAGGCTCAGCGAAAACTCAGCATTGCGTGTGTGGTCTGCTTCCTCTTCATGATTGGCGAGGTCATAGGTTGGTGCTCTGGACAGGAACTGTGAGAAATCTGTCCCCCTTCCCCAGCACACATTCACATATCAGTGGAGCCTAGTGGGGGGGGGGGAGGAAGCAGCTGCAGCAAATGTGACCATCAGAGAAAGTCATTGAGGGGAAGAGGCAGAAGCTCAAGAGGGGCTTGATAGGACTGCCAAACTCCAGGCAGGCCCTGGAGATCTCCCAGAATTCCAAATGCTCTCCAGACTAGAGGTCAGTTCCACTGGGGGAAATGGTTGCTTTGGAGGGTGGACTCTATGGCATTAGACCCCACTGAGGTCCCTGTCCTCTTCAGGCTCCATCCCCAAATCTCCATGAGTTTCCCAGCTCAGTTGACAAGGCTAGACATCAGGGGGCCCTTGGGAAGCCTTCTGGAGGTGTAAAGATTATATAGGTATCCCTTGTAGAAGAGCATCACCATTCAAAGCTCACAGTAATGTCTTTGACCCCTATATTATTGATTATTGATTACACCTGTATTCTATGCTTTCTCTAAAGAGGTCAGGGCAATGCATATGGGGATATCCTGCTTTGTTCACACAGGTATGTTAGGCTGGCAAAGAGCAAGAGAGATTAACGGCTGATATCTCCCCAGGAGCTTCAGGGCCAAGTGATGATTTTAACCCAGGACTTCCTCGTCCAAGTCCAACACCTCTAACTACCTCATGCAGCTCCTTAACTTATTAGTTTTAAGCAGATTACTAAAATATACAAAAAGCTAGACCCCATTTGAACAACTGTGAAAATTTGTCACAGATGCATAAAATTTCGCAGCTAAAAGAGAGATAGGTCTGCTATTATCTTATAATAAAAGAGGTAATATCTCCATATGATCTATATTTTGGAGCAAAGGAAGAATTAAAAGATTTCTAGGCCCAGAAAAATGATTGCATTCAAAGGTAGGCGTGCCATTCCCCCGGGGAGGGACGTAGGGGTTTGCCTGCTTTAGGGCCCCTCGATCCGCCGGCCCAGATCCGGCTGGTGGGGGGGACCCTGCCCCCAAAGTGCCAGGATTGTGCAAACATGCCTGGTGCGATGATACATCACCACGCCGGGCACATTGCCAGGGGGATGCTCTAGCACCCGGTGCACACACCAGAAGATCCCATAAAGGAAGCTCTGTCCCTCCACCAGCAGCAAGTAGGGACCTGGCAACCCTATTCAAAGGTAATGTGATACTGGGTGCCCACATTACCTGCACCACAGTTGCATACTCTATCAGAGGAGGGTATCTTAAGCTACCTTCCTTGCAAAACTCACACCTAATGAGGAACAGTGAAATATGAGCAGTAATCGGGGAGCTCTCCAAGTGGAAGAATACCAACAACTTGAGTAGAACAAACATGTTGTGCTCTACAGATTGTGCTATTATGAAACCATGACCAGTTAGAATCCAGTTCTGTAGACAAATGTGCTGTTATACTTAAATAGACATTTCTTGATCGTTTTTATGGCTTGCCATCTGGTAACTGAATAAAGGGAGTCCAAGGAAACATTGAGGAACTGTAGTCATTGCTCCACAAGTTCATCCCAGTGGGAAACTTAAGAGTCCTATCTCTGACTAAGCCAATGTAGATGTCGGAGTGTAAAATTTCAGCTTCAGCTAGGCCCGAGCTTTGAGATAGTGTTATCTCAATGCAGCTCAATTCAGCTCACCACTACACAATTGGTAATCCCACAGATGGAACGCTGGAATTTAAGAAGAATCAAAAGTCTCCCCTATTTTGTCAATCCAGATACCAGCCACATATACACTTTGCGTGGACACCTTGGTGTTAAACACTTTGATGGTGGCTGGGATATACTGAGCCCCAGATGAATAAAAGAAACAGATAATATTTGATGCCGCTGTAGCCAGTCTTCTAACAAGAGCGGCTTGCACTAACCAAGTTAATCTCTGGTTAGACCAGACCCCTAAGAATTTAAAATAGGGGACTCTTATTATGCTTGCTCTTGGGTGGACTTCTGGGTTTCCCCCTCCTTACTTCTCTATCTGTGGTCCAGGAATAGTAGTAGGGGACCACTGAGACACTTCTCTTTTGCTTTGCAGGTGGGTACCTGGCACACAGCCTGGCTATCATGACAGATGCGGCTCACCTGTTGACAGACATGGGCAGCATGGGTGTCAGCCTCTTCTCCCTCTGGGTCTCCACTCGTCCAGCCACCAAGACAATGACCTTTGGCTGGCACCGTTCAGGTACATTCACTAAATCCACTGTCCTGGGTTTTTGACTGGTCATAGCAAAGACCTTTGCCCTTATATCTCTGCAACAAAAACGGTCAGACCTACTTTAAAAAGCAACTGGGAATTCAGAGGAGTTAGCAGATCACAGTAATAGGTTACAGCAATAAATAGTAATATGATGAAGAGAGAGCCAATTTGGTGTAGTGGTTAAGAGAGCGGACTCTAATCTGGGAGAACCGGGTTTGATTCCCCACTCTTCCACGTGCAGCTCTTGGAGTGACCTTGGGTCAGTCACAGTTCTGTCAGAGCTGTTCTCTCAAGAGCAGTTCTTGGAAGAGCTTTCTCAGGCCCACCTACCTCACAGTCACAGGGTGTCTGTTGTGGGGAGGGGAAGGGAAATGAGATTGTAAGCCGCTCTGAGACTCCAAGTGAAGGGTGGGGTATAAATCCAATTTCCTCCTCCTCCTCCTGTACTATGCTGCAATAGCAGTTACTGACCTTAAAAAAAAAAAAGCCCTCAAACAACTCTCTGGTGGCACAGCAGGAGGGAAATGCAGGAAAAGATCATCTTATTGTGGAAGTACTAGATGCCCTCTTTGACCTTTGCAGTGGCCAGAGTCCAAGCAATGGCAGATGGTTGTGTCCTTGTGAACTCTGGTTTTGTGAGCTACCTCAGGGCCTCCATTAATCAGGGTTGCCAGGTCTCCCCTGGCCACCAGCTGGGGATGTGGTGGGCGGGTGGGTTAGGGTACCAGATCCAGGCTGGGAAACTCCTGGAGATTTGGGGATGGAGCTTGGGGAGGATAAGGACCTCAGTGGGGTATAATGCCATGGAGTCCATCCTCCAAAGCATCAGTTTTTCCAGGGGAACTGATCTCCGTAGTCTGGAGATAACTTATAATTCCAGGGGATCCTCAGCTCCCACCTGGAAGCTGGCATCCCTAATCCATTTTGAAAGGGGAAAATGGGTTATAAATATAATAGTAAAACAATTAAGGGGGATTGCTGTCTACAGCTCCCTTTGCTCATCCCCCCCCCCACATCCTTTATCACTTCAGTCTTTTGCCAAACTATTCAAATAGTAACAAAACATCCTAAACAGATGAGGGTACTGGGAATCATGTAAGACAGAAAGTATTTTAGCAGAACTGGCTAGATGTGTGTGTGTTTCTCTCTAGTGATCTTCAAAGCAGATCTCTCAGACATCATTTCCAGGCGAGGAGAAGTCTTAATACATCAGCACAATGGCCCTGTAAATATTTGTGGCGGATGAATTCAGGCAATTCTCTCATATTGGAGTTCAAAGAGGGCAGAGGCCTTCCTTCTGAGTGGTCGCTGAAAGAGCCAGGCCTTTCAAGTCTGGCCTTCAGCAGGGCTTCCTAATTACTAAGACAGGGAGTGTTATTAGTAAGGATAAAAGAGAACAGACATACAAGGACAAAAGGATGCAAGCTGCGCATTAAATGCTGGAATGTCTCTTTCCATGGATATCCACTTAGGGGTCCTTTTCCAATGGGGAGGACCCCAGTATTCTCCCCTAACAAAATCCTGGCTGTCAACATTTAATATGGGTGCTCTCAAAATATTACAATTATTAACATTGAAGCAGTGGTTAAAAATAACTCACAAGTATATTGTTATACTAACACGTATTGACTAACACGGAAATGATCTCCTACTCTTGGGTTTTTAGTTAGTGTGGGTATCTTTTCTTTATCCCTAGTTGTAGTCCCCCTTTCTATATTTTCTGTAGTAGTTATGTAGTCTATTAAAAAAACAATAAAATTACCCTCTTGGGGGTTTAAAAAACACACCAAAACATGGGTGCTCCCTTTGACACATCTACTTTTTGCCCTTCCTTTGGAGGTCTAAATTCGACAGCTTCCACCCCCCTTGATCATGTTGTCCTTGGCTATCTATTGGGTATCAAAAGTGGGCAGCTGGGGGAGAGGAAAGGTCCCATTTCCCCAGTAATATGGTGAAGGGAAGTCACTCCTTTTCTCCCTCATCTGTACCTTCCCTTTGCCTCAGTATCACTTCCCCTTCTGTGAAATGGAGCTACCTCCTTTCTCTGTTGCCAGCACTCTCCCTTGCCTGCCATGTGTTTAGGGTTGCCAGGTCCCCTCTCACCACGGGCAGGGGATGGGGGGGGGGAGCATTGCCAGATCCAGGTTGGGAAACTCCTGTAGATTTGAGGATAGAGCCTGGAAAGCACAGGGACCGGGGTGGTGGTGGTGGTTCAATGCCATAGAGCAGGGATGTCGAACTCATTTGTTATGAGGGCCGGATCTGACATAAATGAGACCTTGTTGGGCCGAGCCATGTGTGTCATAAAATGTAATGCCAGGTAGCAGAGATATAAACATTATAAAGGACACAAAGATCCCCCCCCCTTAAAATAAAAACATGCTTAAAACATTAGCTCTGTAAGCTGCAAACCTACTTTTGATTTATTGACATTCACCACAGAAATCTCATGCTCAGAGTTCTGAATCTAGGACCCAGGTTAAAACATGAAATGGCTGAGTGATTAAGAGAGTCTGGCAAGGCAAGCTGTGATGCAGCAGCAGCAGCAGCAGAACTGGAAGCAGGAGATGGCCAGTTCCACCACGGGCCTGATGGAAGCCTTCCAGGGGCCTGATCTGGCCCCCAGGCTGCATGTTTGACACCCTTGCCATAGAGTCTACCCTTGAAACAATCCATTTTCTCCTGGGGAACTGATCTCTGTAGTCTGGAGACGAACTGTAATTCTGGGGCATCCCCAGGTCCTACCTGTAGATTGGCATCCCTACCAGATGTGCTTCCAATCTTGTTATTCACCTTTTCACATTACTGTCATTTTCCTGCCATGGCTCACCAAACCCCCTCTCTTACAGCAATTAAGGGGGTACATTTGTTTTCTCTATCATTCCCTTATACTTGACCAGTTGGACCTATCTTTATTGTTGGCCAAAAATAGATGATTCAGAGGTTTGTCTTCACTCAGTGGTAGATGCAAAAAGGCCAAGACTGTAATTTCCAATAAAATAAAATTGTGACATTTAGCCCTTGATAATAAGTGTAACTCTGCTGGCTTTGCTTAGTTTTCCAAGATCAGGCAGCTGATGATGCAAAAGATCTCGAACTGAGACCCTGGATAGCTGCTGCCAGTCACAGGAGACAAGGCTGACCATGATGTCACTTAGAGGAGGGCAGGGAGCTGTTCCTGTTGGCAGCAGAGGACAGGACTTGCAATAATGGGTTTAAATTAAGGGCGGGAAGGTACCGGCTGGACCATAGGAAAAACATTTTTACAGTAAGAGTTGTGCAGCAGTGGAATCAGACACCTAGGGAGGTGGTGAGCTCCCCCTCACCAGCAGTCTCTAAGCAGTGACTGGACAAACACTTGTCAGGGATGCTCTAGGCCAGTGGTGGCGAACCTATGGCACGGGTGCCAGAGGTGGCACTCAGAGCCCTCTCTGTGGGCATGCGTGCCGTCGCCCCAGCCAGGCCCATACCACTATTAAAGTGTCGAATTCTCGGCCAAATAATTTTAAGTAAATGAAAGCATTTGGGATTGCTTTCCTTACTTTGTTTGGATCATCTTAAGTTAATGTGTGAGTTGTTTTTTCTAAAGTAAAACCTCAGTACTCAGGTTAAATTGCCGTGTTGGCACTTTGCAATAAATAAGTGGGTTTTGGGTCGCAGTTTGGGCACTCGGTCTCTAAAAGGTTCGCCATCACTGCCCCTAGGCTGGTCCCGCACTGAGCAGAGGGTTGGACTAGATGGCCTGTATGGCCCCTTCTAGCTCTGTGATTCTATGATGGACCAATGGACTGACAACTTCAACTTCATGTGTATTCAGGACTGAAACCATGTATTCAGTTACTTGGGAGCAAGTCCCACTGAAGTCAGTACCACTCACTTCCCGGTAAATAATCACAGGATCAGACTCTTCGTCCGGCTTTCTTATTGGGCTGCAGTCTTTGCAGTCTTTCTACATGGGCTGCAGTCTTTTGCACACTTACACATTTTTTTCCACATGTCAAGGAAATATCTCTAAACCTTGGTGTTCCCTCGTTGTAAAATGCACAAAAATGCTCACATGCATGCACAACATATTTGTATACAAGGTCCTGTTCCTTAGACATTATTTTTTATTTGATTGAGAGGTGAGCGACCATACCTCTTTGACCTGGCTTTGTTGGAAGGCTGGCAGGGGTGGAAGATCCGAGCCATTTTCCCCAGTAAGCTAAAAAAAACTAGGTGTGTTGTGCATAGGAAAGCTCTGCCATACCCTGAGAGGGCGAATATGTTGTTTTGGAAGGTTAGGTACCCTGACTGGCAGATGTATTTTTTTCTCCCCAGAGACCCTGGGTGCACTGGCCTCTGTCCTGTCCATCTGGATTGTCACAGGTGTGCTTGTCTACCTGGCTTCTGCCCGCATCATCAGCAACGACTATGAGATCGAAGCATCGGCCATGCTGGGCACTTCGGCCTGTGCTGTAGGCGTGAACATCATGTAAGGAGCTGGTTGGATGTTGCAAACAACATGTATTTGGAAGAGGAGGTAGATCTTATGGCACAGCAGCTAATCGGGCCCAGTAGACCTGATCAGGCTGCAAGGAGCTGTCCTCTTAGGCTTCCATTCAATGCATGCGTAGAACTTCCTTCTGGCAACAGCTCCATTCATTCTCCAGATCTTAGCAAGAGGACATTCCTCCCCCCCACCACCACAGAAATAGATCTTAAAAGTGCAATGAAAACATGTGACTTTATTGCTTTATAGGAATGTGTGTAAGAGAGAACACACTTTAGCATCACCACTATCCATGTTCAAATGCAGTAGACCACTGAATTTTAGATGCCCTTCCTTGAACTTCATGGAGCCATAGCAGGGAAAATCTTCATGTAGAACCCCAGGCTTGGTCATTCTTACAGGGTGTTCACCTTCTGCATAGTGTAGGGGTGAAGAGTGGCGGACTCTAATCTGGGAGAGCTGGGTTTGATTCCCAGGCAGCTGGGTGACCTTGGGTCAGTCACAGTTCTTTCAGAGCTGTTCTCTCAAGGGCAGTTCACTCAGAGCTCTCTCAGCCCCATCTACCTCACAGGGTGTCTGTTGTGGGGAGAGTTGGGGAAGGAGACTGTAAGCTGCTCTGATGTTCCCTCTAAGCTGTGGAGTCTTGTGAGCAAAAATTCTACTTTGTGAGCTACTGGCATTAAAGTGAGCGAGAGATGTGGCTACTGCATAAATTAGTTTGCTCTGGAGCCATCCTTCCTTTGTGAGCCAGAGGCTAAAAACTGTGAGCTAGCTTACACTAACTCAACTTAGAGGGAACACTGTCTCTGAGACTCCTTAGGGTAAAGAAAAGCGGGGTATAAAACCAACTCTTCTTCAAAGTAACTTCCTAGACTGCACTGAAAGAGCTTAGAACAGGGCAAGCAGGGCCGGCTCACTCACTAGGCGAACTAGGCGATCGCCTAGAGTGGGCCGGCCCTTAGGGGCGCCAAGCTGCACCCGGCCCCGACTCTGGGAGTTTCTTGATTATTTGTGTTTTTCATTCTTCCTAAAATGCATTTATTTTTAAAAATTGGTGGGTGCATGGGGGTGGCGGCGCCAGAAGGGATCCTCGCCTAGGGTGCAAAATAAGCTGGGGCCAGCCCTGAGAGCAAGGCAGCAGCCGCTCACAAGGGACAAATGATTAGCTGCTACTGCTTTGACAGACACACCCCGCCTTCATTAATACCCAAAGATGTATCCATCTTCTTTAAATTAACCTGGTTAAAATTAGCAAATGGGTGGAAAAGGGTGGGCCTCTCTCACGATCAGCATGTGGAGCAGTGCCACTTTGGTTTCCTTCGAACAGCAGTGCTCTTGGGCACTATGACTTGGAGCCCTCATGCCGCCTTCCTCTCTGCTGCCTTTAGCCTGGTGAACACTTCTGTTCTTGATGGCCAGAACTAGAGGCTGCAGGTGGCTCAAAAATGTAAACACAGGCGGCTTCAGCAGCTTCCTGGGGCTTTACCTTTCCTGGCCCAGCCCTCTCAAAAGAAGCAGCCAGAAGGAAGCCAGACCTCCGTCACCTGCCTATCACTTTGACACTGGGAATTACCACCTGCCGTCCTCTGAGATGCCCTTGTGCTTTGGAGCATGCTAGAATCCCGCCACTCTGCATGGCTATCCAGGGGCAAAGGCCGGCTACACACTGTGTGGGGCTAGGATCCCGTGGTTACACCGAACACAGGAGAAGAAACAGCCAACTAAGGAGCAGTGTTCCCTTTGATTTTTTGTCCCTACTGAGCAGACCAGTTCACATCCTGAGCAGAATGTAACTGCTGTAATCTTAAAATGGGCCATGGGCAATGCCAAGACCCTGTGCGCCTCCAGATTGCTGCTGAGCGGGTCTTCCTGTGTTAATGAGCAGCCGCTCACCCACACAGCTTAGAGGGAACACTGCTAGGGAGGGAAACAGGAGCAGGTTGATGTGAGGGAACAGAGCGGCGGGTAGTAGGAATTTCCAAGTTGGCAAGGAGAGTTATATTTGCTTCACTTCTGCAAAGGAAAACAAGAGGGCCACAGCTCAGTGGCAGAGCATGTTCCTTACATGCAGAAAGGGTCCACCTCCACCATAAAACATCTGGCTGGGGAAAAATCTCTGTCCAAGCGCCCCTGCCAGGCAGAGGAGATTCTTCTGGCCTAAATGGTCTGCCTGGGTACAAGCCCATTTCATAAGACCCATCCCACTTGCAAGTGTCTATGGTCACAGTGCTTGTGCTTCTCTCCACAGCATGGCCTACCTTCTGCACCAGTCGGGCTCCCCGCACAGCCACGGCCCGAGCACGGGGGGCTATGAGCGGATTGGCGACAGCCCCTGCGGCACCACCATACCCACCCACAGCAACACCAGCGTACGAGCTGCCTTTGTGCACGTGGTGGGGGACCTGCTCCAAAGCATCGGGGTCTTCATTGCTGCCACTGTCATCTACTTCAAGGTCGGGGGGCACACTTTATTCTCTCCCTTCCCCCAATCTTTGCATGAGGAGCTTTTCAACCTGAGTAGCCCCACTCTGTAACTTCAGCTAAACTCTTGTGCCGGGAAAAGTATGCTGGAGGAAGCAGCTGGTGATAATCCCATGTATGATTCCAAACATTTCCCTCCAGTGTTGTTCAAAGACAAAGCATTGCTTCTCAGAGGCAGACGAAGCTTTCTCAGCATCTGAGAGGGCACCTTGGTGAACCGCTCACCTACGGTTAGGAGGAGTCCATTATCATGAATGCCATCATTAACCAGCACTGTGAGAGCGAGAGGGGTCCAGAACAGCCCCTCTGCTTTCCCTGAACATCCAGCTTAGCACAGAGGGAACAGTTTCACTCCCCAGAACGAGGTTTCAGAGTAGGACAGAAGGCCCCCCCTGGCCCCAACTCCTGCTCTGACTTCCTCTCCTCTCCTCTCCGCAGCCCCAGTATAAGATAGCTGACCCAATCAGCACATTCCTTTTCTCGGTCTTTGTGCTGGGTTCCACTCTGACCATCCTGCGTGACGTCTTCCGGGTGCTGATGGAAGGTGAGAGGTCTTCTTCCATGTACCGTTTGGGATGCGTGGGTGTGGCTTGGATTGGGAAGCTGGTACAAGAGAATTAAACTCCTTTAATTTAAGGTAAAGGTAAAGGTTCCCCTGCTCGAAAGCCAGTCGAGTCCGACTCTAGGGTTGCGGTGCTCATCTCCGTTTCAAAGCTGAAGAGCCAGCGCTGTCCGAAGACATTTCCGTGGTCATGTGGCCGGCATGACTAAACACCAAGGCGCACGGAATGCTGTTACCTTCCCACTGAAGTGGTACCTATTTATCTACTTGCAATTTCTTGCTTTTGAACTGCTAGGTTGGCAGGAGCTGGAACTAGAGACAGGAGCTCACTCCGTCATGCGACACCCGGGTCTCAAACCGCTGAACTACTGACCTTCCACAGCCTGCAGTTCAGTGTTTTAACCAGTGTTTTAACTTGAGCCACCGCAGCGCCTAACATTTTTTAATTTAGCAGCCCTCTATAGACTGGGCTGTCGGAGTACAGTTGGGCTCACATGTAGTCTGCTTGCAAACTGGAATAGTTCAGAAGTAAGATTTCTGTGGCTGATTGTTTCTCCTGTCACTGAGCTGCAGCAAAATAGAAGGTGGCAGCTGCTGGAATCCTCCTCCTGATGCAATTCTTAACTACTAATATTTATTCATTTTTAAAAATCCTTCCTCATGGCAGTGCATGTGGTTCCCCTCACCTCCATTTTATCTTCACACCCACCCAGTGAGGTAGACTGACCAAGGTCAGCCAGTAAGCATTGTAGAGTAGGATTCAAAACTAGGTCTCCTAATCCATCATCGTAACTGCTATACTACACTTACCTAGCATGCACCTCCAATGTACAGAGCATTTTGCTAAGTTACATAAGTAAAATAAGTTCAAGGTCCCTGCCCCAAGGAGCTTGTAAAGGTAAAGGTAAAGGTTCCCTTGCTCGAAAGCCAGTCGAGTCCGACTCTAGGGGTGCGGTGCTCATCTCCGTTTCAAAGCCGAAGAGCCAGCGCTGTCCGAAGACATTTCCATGGTCATGTGGCCGGCATGACTAAACACCAAGGTGCACGGAACGCTGTTACCTTCCCACCGAAGTGGTACCTATTTATCTACTTGCAATTTCTTGCTTTCGAACTGCTAGGTTGGCAGGAGCTGGAACTAGAGACGGGAGCTCACTCCATCATGCGGCACCCGGGTCTTGAACTGCTGAACTACTGACCTTCCACAGCCTGCAGTTCAGTGTCTTAACCACTTGAGCTTGTAGTCACACAGAAATAGAGGGGCCCTCATTCCAGCAGTGCTATCCAGGCAAATTTCAGCTGAGCAGAATGAAAGAAGGAGAGCCCTGCTGCATCAGCCCAGTGGGCCATCCAGTCCAGCATCCTGTTTCTCACAGCAGCCAACCAGTTCACCTGGAAGGCCAACAGATAAGCTGTAGAAGCCAAGGCCACCTCCTGATTTTGCCCCACAGCACTGGCATTCAGAAGTTCGCTGTTTCTGAACATGGAGGTTCCCCTTTAATCATCTTGGCTAGTAGCCTTGGAGGGACCTGTCCTCCAAGAATACATCTAACCTCCTTTTAATCCCCAGACAGCAAAGGGATATGAGATCTAAAAGAGTAACAACAGGCCTTTCTGGGTCTTGGAAAAGCTTTGCATTCTCAGAATATGGGGATGTAAACCTAAACATTGCAACACCAAGAAGCCAAACGCACAGCAATCTCAGGCTTAAGAACCAGCATAACATCATTTATTGAAGAATGTATCCCCCACCTTTAATCTTATACTGTTTTGCAAAGACAAAAACCCAGTGAAATCCACTGAACCATACATCAGGCCAACAGGACACCCATCTTTCCCAGCAGTTTGCCAGCTACAGAAACCTCTGAGGGATGGCATCATGCAAGTCCTGACTAGGCTGCATTCAGCTGCTGAACATCCACACCAAGCCAGCCACTCTTCTGCCACAGACGCAGCAGAATGAGATGCTAGAAAGGACTGCTTCAGATTGCAGGCAGGGCACCCCATGTCCAAATATCCCAACCCTGGAAAGACTCCCTTTCAAACAGAAGACTGCCATAGTAGAGATAGTGGTGCTAATTCAGCCTGCTCTATTTACAAGGAGCACCCCCACCCTTCAAGGTACGGGGTGCATTTAAAAACCTGTACTGTGAAGTGGTACAGTCCACTCTCATACTATGGTACAGACCCAGCCAAAGAGCCTACTATTTATTTATCAATTTGTTTCGCAGAGAGCCCTAGCCCTTCGTGGGTATGGTGCCAGCGTGGAAACCAAACATAGAGGTATTTTGCATGGGCTGCAGCACAGTTTTAACGAGACCCTCTTTTGGTCTCACCAGGCTCAAATTTTAATGTCAGGCCTCTGGACAGGTGCTGTCAGTCACATAATACTGAACTACACAGACCAATGGTCTGACTCTGTACATAAAAAACCATTCCTCCATTCATCCTGCCCAAACAAGTCGCCGTCAGTGTTCCCTCTAAGCTGTGGAGTCTTGTGAGCAAAAATTCTATGTTGTGAGCTACTGGCATTAAAGTTGTGACCGAGTGATCTGGCTACTGCATAAATCAGTTTGCTTTGGAGCCCTCCTTCCTGAGCTAAGACAAAAAATGTGTGAGCCGGAGGCTAAAAAATTGTGAGCTAGCTCACACTAACTCAGCTTACAGGGAACACTGGCTGAAGACTTTTTTTCTGTTTAAATGCTTGCTTCCTTACCGAAGGTCCTCTTATTAAAGGTGCACAACAGTTCAGTTTCTTCTTCCTCCTGTCTCCCAGGTGCACCACGTGGTGTGGAATTCAAGGCAGTGAAGGAGCTGCTGCTCTCGGTCAAGGGAGTGAAGGGTGCCCACAATCTACATCTCTGGGCCCTGACTCTCAGCCACCAAGTTGTAGCTGTGCACGTGGCTATTGGTAAGCGTGGCCGTGGCACCTTGCCTTTCCCCCATCCTGGGGAGGTGGGGAGGGAGGGAAGTGGGGGGTGCCTGGGCTAGGCAGTTAACCCTCCCCAGCACCCCAACTGACCCCCACTTTGGCATTTGCTTCCAGAGCCCAGCACCGATGCGGAGACTGTGCTGCAAGATGCCACAGCCCTCCTGCAGAGCAAGTTTGGCTTTGTCTCGTGCACCATCCAGGTGGAACGCTACCTGGATGACATGGCCATCTGCCGCCAGTGCCAGGACCCACGGGATTGAGCCCAGTGCTGCCAGGCACCAGCTCCCACGCTCCCCCCACTGCCAAGCCCAGGAGGTGCCTGAACCAGGGGACTCCCCCCTCTTTCCCAGAGCCAGGGACCGTGGCTGTGTCTTCTGAGCCCCCGGATCTGGCCTCTCTCTCCCCCTCTGCATCTTCGTGTCACATTCCAGGCTGGGTGGGGGCTACCCTCCTGCAGGGGGCTATGCCCACTTCCCATGTTCATCAGCCTAAGTGTCTTTGATGTGCAAGCCTGCAGGTGCTGGGGCCAAGATAGCTGCCGCTGGGGCTGGGCCATTGGTTGGGGCTATGTGGCCATTTTTGTACACATATGTCATACTGGCAGCACACATTCCTCCCCTTGGGAGTCTGGCTGGTGGGGTGGAAATCAGTCTCCTCCATAGTGAACCAAGAGCCAGGGGCAGGATGCCCAAGAGGTGGCTCCTGGGCCCGTTCCCTCCAAGAAATCTGGGCCACCAAGAATTAGACGCACTGCCCACTCGCAGACAACTGTCTCCCACCAGCTGGCCGAGAGTCAGGACAGTCGCCTTCTCATACAGGGTGGGACAGCGGCAGAGGGCTGGCTCCTGCTGGCATGGGCCAGGGCTGATCCTGAGGGGCAGAGGTGGGCAAAGCTCAGGTACTTATTAAGGCTGTTGAATAAAGAACTGGAAATCGGGAGCCGCCATGCAAGACCACTCCCGAGGGCCAGTGCGAACACTCAGAGGGGAGGAACCTGGCAATAAAGGAGATGCTACGGCATCCCTCCACTGCACAGGTGAGGAAGGACACCCACCTTTCCCCCTCTTGGCCACTGAAAAGAGTGGTACAGGACCTTCCCACCACATGCTGACCATCAGCCAGAGGAAGCCAAGGTCAGTCTCTGGTCCAACCGCATCTGGTTCTTGTGAGTCAAGTCAGCCCGAAAGCACCGAGGTGGCAGACCCGATTTAGCCAGCATTGGCGGTAACTGGGCAAACCCAGGGCAGAGTTGCTGCCGCCTCCAGCCCTTCTACCCCAAGGCTATCCTCCGCTGGAAAGCCGACAGGACTGGGGAGCTGACCCCCCATTGCCCGTGTTCTCTAGGGAGCGCTCACTGCACCAAAGCTGTTCTTGAACATCCCTGAGATTTTGCCCTGCCTTCTCCCCTCCCTCCTTTGGGAAGGAACTCTACACCCAGTGCTTGTCAGGCCCTTCCAGGAGACACAGGCATTCAGAGAGGATGGTCCCCCTACCCCTCCTACATGCCCTGCCATCCTGACAGAGCAAGGACCACCCTTTCAGCCCTTGCAGGGTGGGGGAGGGATGTTGCTGTCTTCAGGAAATCCCTCCACACCAAGCACAGGCAAGTGCGCAAGCCAAATCCTTCCTGCGCCCACACGTTGTGTTCTGTCTGTTATCTTGTGGAGTACTTATCTGTGTATTTCCAGTGTGTCGTGTGTCCAGGTGTCGTTTAACAAAGTGCTGAAAGTACCAGTGATTCCAATAAAGTAACCTGCCTCAACATAAGGAGCCAGTTGCTTGCGGGGGGGGGGGGGGGGGGAGCAGAAGCAGTGGGGAAAATGGGACAGCTGAAGCTGGTGGGGAGAGAGAGAGAGAGCACCACATGGCTCATCTTTCTCCTGTGGGCGTCGCGCAGCCTGGTACCAGCTTTGGAGGACGGAGGATGTGGCAACACTCCTTCCTCCAGTTTGCATCACACAAAATCAGACAACAAAGCGCGGGGCTCTTATCTCTTTAAGCAGCATCACAAGCAAAGCACCACCACGGGAAGGACAGCTGAGCCGGATCAGCTAAGTGTCAAGCCGCCCATGTAGAGGACATGCTGGAAGTCTGCTTTTTAATATTAGAAGCAAATTCCAATACTATCAGCCTTAGCACAGCAGAATAGATGCTTTCACAGGCGTTCTTCGGTGTCGCAGGCCCACACAGCACAGGCACATGGCCTGAAGACTCCATACAGGGGTCCCTCCTGCGGCCTGCAGTGGTCCTTGATGCCCAGCTCTTCTCTGCCATGCTGCTTTTATGAGACCGCAAGGCAGGCAGTGAGGGGAAGGAACTAAGTTCCCCTCTAAGGGACACCCCCTGGCTGCTAAGCCCGCTTTGCTCTGATAGGAGACAAGGCGGCAGGACAGCCTTAACCTTGCCCACCCCCAATGGATTTCTGTGCATCGACACACCACAGTTTGATGAATCTGGTTAACTTAAGCAATGAAAGCTCCACGAGGAAACAATCCGATCTAAGCCAGGCCCAGCAGGATGTGTGAGTCTGCAAGTGTCCCACTGTTCATTCCTGGTGGTAGTTGGAATTTTAGGGGTGCTACGAGAAATTTCAGAAGTGGAGTAAAGTGGCCCAAGAAGAGGGGGGGGGGGGGGGGGGATTGAGGAACCACCCAAGTGTAAAATCCAAGGCAGCGTCTCCCCTTCCCAACTCCGCATCATTTCCTCCCACGCAACTTACTGTGAAGATGCTGATGCTTGCGAGAGAGAAAAGGGTGTGAAGACTGGTGGAACATGAAATCCTTATGCCTTTCCCTAGAACGACAAAGACCTGGCCCGGCCCCCCTTTCCCAGCATTAACGCCTGCTTGAGCTGGGGAAGCCAGGGATGACCTTGCTAGCCTCCATGTGATTAACATGCACACCAAGCGTATGCAACAGGTGCCAGGCTAATGGGCTTTTTTGTGTCAGCACAGCTCTTTGGGAAAAACCCCCAAAGCTGTCAGCTTGTATCTTCTCACCTTACGGACCAAGGGCAGGACTGAAGGAAAAAAGGGGAATACACTGCCAACCCTGACCCAAACAACAGAAGTTGCTGGGCCCTTCCCACAGATCATAGCCGAGGCCTGGGGACCAAGCAGAATTTCTCAAGTGGTGGCAGAGAGATCCTTGTCAGACCTCTCACCTATGACTGGGAAGAGAGAGGCAGTCTCCTTCCTATCTTTAGAGAGACAGACGCCCTTTAAAAACCAAAATCCACTTTACTATCAGTTAAGACAACAAAAGAGCTCAATGTGAGCAAGGTCGTGGCCCCCAAAGAGGCAGGCAGAGGGGAGGACTATCAGCTGGCTCTTCTTGGTGTAACATCCAGAACAAATGTGGGCCTTCGAAAAGCGGAGAGCCTCCCCGCCTGCCCACCCTCAATCACTGGCAGGCTCATGCAGGAAGAGGGGACACAGAGCATTATTCCGCTGGGCCAGCCAAAGGGAGATGAAAACCCCTTTCTTTCATAGACTGGTGCCCTGTGTCACGCACGGGGTAATCCAAAAGGGAGCCTGGCACTCCAGCTAGAGATAACATCCCCCCCCCCCCCCCCCCCCGGGGAGGGGACCGGCGGGGGGGGGGGTCACATCAGGACTTGCCCGCAGTTCATTGGGCAAACCCCGTTGCTGGGTTCGGGACGGTCAGAGTGGCTGGCTGAGCCCCATCCCTTTGTGCTTCTCTGCAGCCGGTCCATTCTTGATCTGGCTGACCCCTAGAGTTCAAGCCAGGATCCAGCTAGTCCACCAGCAGCTAGAATCCTGCAGATACCATCAGAGCTCCACATATTTCACAGGAGACCGGAATCTCTTGGTGATGTGTGCTGATGCCAAAAACTACTGTGGGGTCCTAAGTGCTGTTCAGCTGACTGCAGTGTGCACCCCAGCTGGGTTGCCTTCAGGTCCGTCTTCCTGTTCCTCTGCTTGGAACATGGCGCTGAACTGGGCCTGGCACTCGAGCAGGAGCTTGCGGCTTGGGGGGGACACCAACGCGCGAAGGCAGTGCACCCGCACAATGCCAGACTGGCCCCCCGACACCAGCCAGCTGTGACAGTCCAGGTTGGGGCTGAAGCGAACCTGTCAAGGAGAGGATGTTGATGAAGTAGAGGGGAGAAAGCAACAAAGGGGGAAGGAAATGGGCCCTACTGCCTCCTTCATCCCAGCCCCTCTGGACCAGTCCCCTCTGCCCCAGGACTGTGATGGGTTGGCTCCAGCCACAAGCTCTCTGGCAAAGATTCAGAGGGGTTCTTGGGACAGAGGTGTGTGCAGGCGTGCCAGATACGCAGTGGGAGACTTGAGGCTGTGCCCCCCCCCCCCCCTGCTGTAATCCCCTTTTTCCTTCTTACCTTGTGCACTGCTTCCAGCTGCAATCTGCCTAGGCCATCCCCTTCTTTTACTTCTTGTGTAGGTGGTTGCTTCCGGGACTTTCTCCTGAAGAAACCCTTGAAGCTCCTCTTCATTTGGGGGAAGAGAAGGGAGGTCAGAGGAGAAGGGAGAATCAGGCTCAAGAGCAAGTGCAGCCAGCCCTAGCAGTAGCCAGGCTCTCTGGGCAGCAGCAAGAGAAAGAAAAAGGACCTCCCCCCGTGGTGGCAGGGCCTCAACACAGGCAGGCCTCGTGACTCCCGCTGTCAAGCCGGGGATTGATGGGCCTGGGACCAGAGCCTCATCATCTGGCTGCAATGAGTCTTATCAACCGGAAACATGCCACAGAATCGGGAAGACGGAAGAATGGGGGGGGGGGGCTGGAGCAGCTGGAAAGCAACGATAGGCTCCTGGCCTCTTGGGGGTTACGGAAGGAGGGGAGAAAACTGCCACCACACGCCTCTGTTACCACCACCTGCCCATCCCCACTTGGTACTAACAGCCGCGCTCAGTCTCTTGCCCAAAAGCACTTGCTAACACAAGGACAACTTCCCACCCTAAGAGCCGACAGGCAGAAGGCAAGCACACACCTGAAATAGGACACCGAAGGGGCCATACATGGTTTCCCACCCCTCACAAAAGCCTCCCTTCCACCCCACAGGGGGCAGAGCCCCGCTTCCTCCAAGCCCTCACCAGGTCAGTATCCTGAAAGTGGATGTAGTTCCGGGCCACTGACTCATTGTACGTCCTGCCCTCCACTGGGGGCTTCTCGCCGGCTCCCATCCTTGCATCAGTGCTGACTGGACCACAGGGCAGCAGGTCTGCCTTGTAGATAGGCTACGTGGGGAAATTCAGAGAACAGTTGAGGGCAAGGAAAAGATTCCCTTGCTCCAATCCTGCCCTCAAACATGGCACAGCTCAATAATATTATTATTTCTCATTAGAGATAATCTGGATGCGCCCAGCTGATGGCTTCCCCTGCCTGCCCACCCAAGAAGTGGCTCAAGCACGAGAGCCAAGGCATAAGCCAAGAGAAGGCATTATACCAGCCTCTCCCTCCCGGAGAGGCTGGCCAAAAATTCCTTTGCAAGACATTAAAGTTTACTGGCTCATCTGTAACAGAGTCTACCCCCAATCCCACTTGTCATTAGGGTTCTTGGTGCCCTGATGACTGTGGAAGATATGGGATACATTTGCAGATTTGTGGGAAGGGGGACAGGGAAAGAAGAGTGCAACATGAAGGCATAAGAAAACATCTGAGATTCTTCATTTAATTTCTCTCCACCCCATCTTGAGAGAGAGAAACTGTTTCACAATTGTACATTGTTAGAAAACCCTTTTGAACTCTAACCCAACCTGATTAATGAAATGTTGTAATCACTAATTCTCACAGGAAGGGAAAGTGGGTGACCACTGAGAAATGTGTGGAATGCAGTAGTTTCAAAACAGAGACCCTTTCCCACCTTTTCTTCCTTTGTTAAGAGGGAAGAGGTTTGGACCAAAAGCCCCGGGCCTTTCCTAGATGGAGGAAGATGAGGCTAACCTAACCCCCTAACTTGCATGACATGGGGGGGGGGGAGTGTTGCATTTTTCTCAGAGCTGCTGTGGAGACAGGAAACCGCATCAGTCTCTGCAGCAGCTGAGTCAGTGGGATGCTTGGGGAGATGAATACTTCTGGAATGAGGATGACCATGTGCTCCTTCAGTCATCTAGCAAACAAAGAATGCCATCTCTCTGGTAAGGGCCAGGGCTCTCTTCTGTCCCTGTAGTCGGTGATCAGACAGTAATATTGGGGGATGCCCTCAACACCATCAAGATGCAACTTCCCCAAATGAAGTGGCAGCAACACCTACAAATCGGCGCTCAGAAGGTCGTTTGACATTGTGTGGGTTGACTGACAGGTCGGGCATCATGGCAGCCACCAGCTCCCCTGTGGCGTCTCCAGCAGCTATGGAGTTCAGCCAATCAGATCCAGAGATGCTCTGCAAAAGGAGAGAGAATCTAGAACCAGGCACAGAGCCCCACTCCTTCCCTACCTGGCTACGCTGTGGGAAGGCCTCAACTGAACATCCCTTCATTTCCGCCCTCTGCAGTAGTAGGAACTTACCCATACGGTGCCTTTACGAGGGGCCACAAAATAGGCCCGGAAGCCCAGATAGCCAGCATCCAGGTAGTGGATCCCACATAGGCCATACCTGCAACACAAGAGGAATAGGGGATCATGATACCCGACCACCGTGTACAATGGCCCAGACCCCATCCCACGCACACATATTCAGTACTCTACTGCCATTCACCTATCAAACAACCCAGCACCATGACTATGTTTGATCCAGAACAGCCAACAGGCTGAAGCACCGAATGCTGGCAACGTAGCAGAAAAAGCAACAAACATACAGGGACTTCCGTTTCAGAGAAGTCCAAGCACTAAAAAACTGTTTCCAAGAATAGATTCCTATGCTAGAGATCCTCAAAATGCCAAATCAAACACTGTAATATCCAGCTCTGTGGACCTGCTGCCTCTGCTTAAAGCCAGGGCTAGCTATACTTTTTCCAGTGTGAACCTCCACATGGGAGAAAGCTTAAACACAGCACAGCAGTGAGACCTGAACACCCAGAGTCCAACAAGAACATCTTATTTTCATATCCTACCCTTTATATATATTTAAAAGCCCATCTCCAGAATCTGGCCAGAACAGCTTCAACCATAGCTCGGAGAACGTTCTGAAGCGTGGTATCATTTTTATACAACCTCCTGTAATGTGTGTCTGCATAATATATACATAACTTCCTGAACTGCTTGCCAGTTCTGAAAGTAAACTAGACCTGTGGCAGCTAGAAAAAACACTGATGGTGCTCTCTGGAACTGGTCTCCGAAGCAGGTGCTTCAAAGAAGCTTAAGAACATGCAGAAGATAGGAGGCGATGTAGGCTATAGAAAAACTCCTGTTAGAGCATGCTGTATGGGAGCACATATGTTTTTTGTGCACATACACACACATTCTCAGGCTATTTATGTTGGATTCAAATTGCCCCTACATTCAAGCAGACAGCGCTGTTACTTATAGCACTGAAAGTGTTATTTACAACAAGCAAGCATCCTCACATAACACATTTATCCTGTGTAACAAGTGTGGGAAAGAATTGCATATGGCATTTTACCCTGTTTTTTAAAAAGTGTGCAAATCAGGCTTCTATGCCCTATTGCAGAGCTACTGCCACAACCAGTGTTCCTCTAAGCTGAGTTAGTGTGAGCTAGCTCACAGTTTTTTAGCCTCTGGCTCACACGTTTTTGTCTTAGCTCAGGAAGGATGGCTCCAGAGCAAACTAACTTATGCAGTAGCTAAATCATCTGCTCACAACTTTAATGCTAGTAGCTCACAAAGGAGAATTTTTGCTCAAAGGACTCCATAGCTTAGAGGGAACATTGGCCACAACAACCCCACAGAAAAGTACTAGCTCCCCACAGTGTACCACTGCAAAAACGATAAATCCAATTCCCTTTGACTGGTGTAAATTAGTCCCCAAAAGGACCACTATTCAGCCACGAGGCTACAAATGACTGCGTAGGCTCCGAAGCAGGCTTCTGTGCCCTTCCCAAAATACACATATGCACACACACACTCACGAGGCATAGCAGTTGTCCTGTGCAACTGTGATCCCGCTGTAAGGCAGCAGCCAGGCAATTTCTGTGCTCAAGAAACGCTTGATGCTGTTGATGGGCTCGTGTAGCCGGCGCAGGTCCCAGAATTTGATCTTGCGGTCATTCCCTGCGGTCACTATGAAATTGCTAGGACGAAAACAGATTGTTCCACTGATACTCCAGCTCCTTTTCAGGGGGAAGGCACCTTCTTCAGCCAGTTGTAGTCGGAAGAGGACTGAGGGTAAGGCAGGCTCAGACTGGGTGAGAAGAGGCAGAGGCTAGCAAGACAGATTGTACTCAGCAACTGGAGGCCAGGAAGCATCGTCCTGTAGGCAATCTGTTGACAAACACTACTGCTTGGCTCCTTCTGCCACAGCCAGGTTGAGTGTTGCCAGTACCGGGAGTCTGGCCACTGAGGGCAAAGTGGCTCTCACCAACCTCTCTAACCCTGCACACACAATGTACACACACCTGTTTGCCTTGCACCACTGGATGTTGCGCACAGCATGATCATGGGCAAGCAAGCAGTGAAACGGGTACAGCTTGAGGGAGCCACTGGGCTGGCGGACTCGCTGCAGCAGGGACTTGCTGGAGAGGTTCCACAAGGCTACAGTGCCTGGAGAGAGGAGACCTTCAGTGTGGTGGCAGGACTGCAAACAGAAGTAAAGCCCCTCTTCCCTAGCCCCCCGCCTCTAGAGGGCCTTCCCTTCTCACCGTCATAGAAGCCAGCTGCCAGTTGATGGTGAGGCTTGGTGGGCATCCAGGCCAGGGTGAAACACTGCCCACATTCAGAGGGGCTCCCTGCCTGGATCGAGCCCACTTGCAAGGTGGCCACACACTGCACCTGAAGAGAAAGAGATGCGGCCATCAGCAACAGAAAGATAATGCAGGAGGGAGGAACCAGCTGTCTTTCCAGAGTAACTGCTGGTCCAAGGGAAACAGGCCAATTCTACCCAGCTCTGAACTGGGGGGGGGGGAGAGCCAGTAAATTTCAGTCTGAATGGACAGACTGAACTTTACCGGCTAATGAGGGGCGGCCCTTCTCACAGAGAACCACCTTTCTCAAGGAACTGGCAAGCTGAAAGATGCAGGGCAACTTGGGCCTTGATCACGGGAGCCTGCAGAGGGGGACACATTAGATGATGCAAACGTAGAGACATACCTTGCAGATAGCATGCCGTGGGGATGGCACATCTAGGAGAGAAGGAGAAATGGGGTCAGATCGCAAGCAACCTCATCAGGATCCAGTGGAAACTTTAATCCTTTCTTGTCCATGAGGGCTGGTGGGGTAGCCCTGTTCTAGCCTAAGCTCTCCCTTCCAGAGAATTCCAGGAGCTAGACAGGATCAAACACCACCTGGCCGAGCCCAAATTCTTGCCACAAGACAATTCTCTTCTCTACCACCTTCTGACCTCAAGGCATCACCTGTTTAGTTCAGGAAGGCCAAACCTTGGCTTCCCTCAATGGTACTCCACAAGGAAGAACAGAAAGGGTCATTACTCACACTGGCTTTTTCTGAGATGCTACCTTCCCTGAACAGGCCCAGGAAAGCTAACATCAGTGAGCCCACAAAGAGGAAACGGGGTAGAAACAGCCCTGCTTGGGCAGCTTCTCCTGAAGCCACAAGCAAAACTGCAACACACTCTAGAGTAGCTGGCTCCCTGAGGGAAGCAACTTGCGAGGAGCTCTGCAGTCACACGAGGTACTTCCTCTGAGACTCAAATGTCTCCGCTATTCAACCCACCTACCCAACCACCACCTGGGTCCTCGGCCAATGCCCTATAATAAGCCTCATGGCTTAGCCAAGAATGGAACCTTTCCAGATCGAGGCATGGGTAACTGCTGCCGCCCACCTTCCATGTTGCAAGAAGGCAATTCTCAAAGAGAGAAGTAGGTTAAGTGCTGTCAGGGAGGGCAGAAAGAACTCCCCCATGCCAGCTGTACCATAGACAGCCTCAGTCCAAGTGATAGGATGGTGGGAAGATAGGAAGGAAGATACCCCTGCCTGGTGGAATGAGCTCCTGTTAGGAATTAGGGCCCTTTGAGAGCTTTTACAGTTCCGTAGGGCCTGAAAGATGAAGCTCTTCCGCCAGGCCTTCAGTTGAGGCAGCGGGTATCCGACTCAATCTGGCCTCCCCCCAATGAGTCACACTCATGATGTGTCTGTTGAGATATAATTTATTTAAAAGTATTTATTGTTGTAATTTTATTGTATTTATTGTATGTATCTCGTTATTTTGTTTTTATTGTTGTAAATCTGCACTTAGCAGATTGTCATAGGTTGGAACCTGCCCCAAGCCTGCTTTGCAGGGAGGGCAGGATATAAATTGAAGAAAATAAATAAATAAATAAATAAAACAGGTGATAAGATTGTAAATACAATCAAAAAGAACATTATACCTCCAATTATGTATGTTTTATGTGCAATTCCTTAGATACATTCATAAAATTACTTACTTTATTTTGGAAATTTTCATAGCGTTCCTTATCACCTCAGATTCCTTTAGAGCAGGGGTGTCGAACTCATTTCGTTATGAGGGATGGATCTGACATAAATGAGACCTTGTTGGGCCAGGCCATGTGTGTCATAAAAGGTAATGCCAGGTGGCAGAGATATAAACTTTATAAAGGACACAGACAAACACAATTAAATTTTTTTTTAACTTTAAATAACACATTTCCAGTGAGCTCGACACCCCTGCTTTAGAGGATGCAACTCCCATTTAGTGAAGGAACATGTAATTTTCCTGACCTCAGTTTCTATCATTAGGCATATCTGATAACCTGGACTAATTATTGAGATTGGTCTTCTCAGCCGGACTATGCATTTTGGGCTATTTTGGAGGATTCTTGTCTGGTACCCCTGGATTGGGGTCTATTCATGCTAAAATATTTTATTTTTATTTATTTATTTATTTATACTTATATTTATACCACACCCACCCTGTAAACAGGCTCTGGGCGGCTTACAAAAGATGGCAAAATATGCTGATTTCACATAAAACATTAAAATAGCATAAAACATACTTAATATCAACAATAAACATTAACATCCTCGCAGTATTAAACGATATTAAAGTGCATGGTGTGTTCCTCCTGCAGTTTCTGCAGTTAATGAATTATGGCATATAATGTCACAACGATATCAGTTTGACTGATTTTCACATGCTAAATTAACACTATGGGCCAATCTAAATTTAAAAATTGAGAAGACTTTTTAAATTAAAGGTTTGGACAATTAATAAGAATTAGACAATGAGTTTTTGTTATTTAGGAGCTGCGGTGGCTCAAGTGGTTAAGACGCTGAACTGCGGGCTGTGGAAGGTCGGTAGTTCAGCAGTTCGAGACCCGAGTGTGCCGCATGACGGAGTGAGCTCCCGTCTCTAGTTCCAGCTCCTGCCAACCTAGCAGTTCGAAAGCGAGAAATTGCAGTAGATAAATAGGTACCACTTCAGTGGGAAGGTAACAGCGTTCAGTGCGCCTTGGTGTTTAGTCATGCCAGCCACATGACCACGGAAACGTCTTCGGACAGCGCTGGCTCTTCAGCTCAGCTTTGAAACGGAGATGAGCACCGCAACCCTAGAGTCGGATTTGACTGGCTTTCGAGCAAGGGACCTTTAGTTATTTTCTCAGCTGCGTTCTACTTATGACCAGTCAACTTCTGTTGAATGGCAATATTTACAACTGCAACCATTTGTTGGTATCTAAATAAGCCTCTGCAGCATAAGTGTTTCAGAATCTTTCTTACTCTCAGAAACTCTCATTGAATTGATGCACAAACCAAACCCTCAATATTTGTTTATAAATACTTCATGGTAAATAAATAAATATGATATACAAAGTCTCAGAAATGAATGGAATAAGGAACTAGATATTGTTTCTATGGAACCCAAGCTGTAACTTATTCAGAAAAAAATATGTTTAGGATATACTGGACACCAAGGTGACTTCTTAGTAAAGAAGTAAGTAAAGTGTCAAATTGCTGGCACTGTAACTTACAGGACACATCTCTCAGAAACAGTGTGGTGCAGTGGTTAAGAGCGGCAGACTCCAGTCTGGAGAACTGGGTTTGATTCCCCACTCCTCCACATGAAGCCTGCTGGGTGACCTTGGGCCAGTCACAGTTCTCTCAGAACTCTCTCAGGCTCACCTACCTCACAAGGTGCCTGCTGTGGGGAGAGGAAGGGAAAGGCCATCATAAGATGCTTTGAGACTCCTTATGGCAGAGAAAAGCAGGGAATAAAACATACTCTGCTTCTTAAACATATGCTTTGGGTCTGCCCAGTTATTCAGTCTTTTTGGGAGGAAGTAATTACTCTTAATTTTGGCTTACAATATTCATTGTTCTTTAAGGATGTTTATGTAATTTTAAACAATTTGCCTGTTCCCTGGAGACAAACTGATGGTCAATGAAAACAGACCCTTCATGCCCTTGCTATTGCTAAAAGACTTACATTACAACCCTGGAGAGATAAATGCCCACCCTTAAGTAATCCTATGGACTGAGGACCTTACAGTCTTATCAACATTTGGACATATGGCATATAGGCAGCAATTGTGCATGAACATAGTTAGATATTTGGAAACCTTTTACAGAATCTTATTGGTAGACTTGCCACCACTTTTAAAATATTTTTAATTTCTTTCTGGTTGGGAGTTGCAATTAATTTTTTTTTTTAATTATAGACTGCAGGCCAGGCTAAAGATGGGGTGAATTTGCCCTCCCCAAATTTCACTCACTTCTCAATCTCCCAGCCATCTGTCCATCAAAGAGATGTCCTTTTGGGGTTCTGTCAGACTCAGACTCTGACAAGAGTGGAAGAACTGGGAGGTTAATGGAACATTAAGCATGTGTGCTCCCCCTCCCACCCACCATGGCACTAGGAGGAGGGGAGAGGGGCTAAGGGCTCAGCCTGGACTCCCCAGGGACTGACTGGCTGTTATCACCAGAGGCCAAGGTTGAGTGCCCACGAGTGCCACAAACACACACACACACAGCCATCATCATCATCAATCATTCTCACAGACAGATTTAATTACAAGCTTCATTAGCTGATATAGCTGGCTGAGCAGGGGAGTGGAGGGGGAAGGGGGCAAGAGACAGGGAAGAAGACATTCACTGCTGGAATTCACAGACAATTCCCTGGAAAAAAATGTATTTCAGCATGGCGGAGGACTGCACTGAAGCCTCCTACCTGCACAGAAGTGAAGACTTTCTCATCTTGGGGAAGGGATAACTTTAGGAGAATCTTTGCAGGGGGCAGCGAGGCCGTAACTGTGCTACAAGAGTCTTCTGAATCATGCAAGAAACCTCTGCTTCAGAATGGAATGTCTCAGCACTCTTCAGTTTGGGATTAAATGTATGTATGCATGCATGTGCGGGGGAGGGGGGAGAGATAGCCAGTGCTGAAAGCGAAAGTCCTGCAAACCATCATGGGTATCATTTGCTGAGGAAGAACTGCCAAGTTTGACTTCTTTTGCTGAGGGACTGTGGTCCTGGCTTGTAGAAAACTTTGGGCTTATTAACACACAGGAGCTCATCAGGCAGAGATGGCTGATGGGGAAAACAAAGGGTCTGAATCCTGACTAGATGACTCGTTCTTGGATATATGGTGTTAAGAGCTCTCCACTGACTGACACTAGAACAGGCTGCCTCCAAGCAAAGGGCAGTGGCCGCTTCTCATCAACAACATCCAGTTTGGAGAGTTCAACTAACCTCATCCCCTTAAGTTATGGGCTGGGAGGGCCTTCTCCTCTGCCCTAAAATGCACCCCTAAATGCTGCTAGGTGTATTAAGCCAGGGACACACACACACACACAACAAGAAGATTTCTCCCATCGAGCTCAGGGGGGAGACAGAGATGCCCAAAACAACCACACAGGGTCACAGTCACCTGGGTGCTTGGTTTGCTAAGACAGACACCAGGTCCAGCCTGCCTGCCACTCTCCCAGGGGATGTTACAGCTCTTCCTACCTGTTACCTGGGCTCTCCTGTAGACACGCAAGTCCTGGGCATGCGGAAGGCTGTACAGCAGCACCTTGCCATCGGAGAAGGCCACAGCCAGCAGTCCCAGCCGACTCATCTGGAAAGACTGCAGGGGACAGAAAGGAAGATAACAACAAGGGTCTTCTCCAGAGGCTTTCCTGTCACCTCCCAATAGGTAGCAGACACTGTGAGGATGTGTGGGTTTGCCTGCTCCGCTAAATTCTCATGGAAAACAAAAGACCTTGGAGACTGATTTTCAATCTACTTCTCTTGTTCTGCAAATTCTCCAGAACCACTACAGTCCATAGAAGTTCTTACCTTGTGACGGGTGGCAGGGAGCTCCCAGGCGCCACTTGGGCAAAACTTCATATCCCAGATGCAGCCATGGCTGGTGGCAATGGCATACGCCAGTCCTGGCTTGGTTGCAGACCTTGAGGGAAGAAGGGAATGTAAGAGAATCAAAGGGAAACCTTGTCCATTTACCTACAATCCCTTACCCACCCACCCCCAAGTTGACGGCATGGAGTCAGCTGTGCCATTTGGTACCCACTGCATTGAAGTCTCAGAGAAGCCTGTTTCTAGACTGTCCACAGTCTCCAAAAATAAGTAGTCTGGGAAGGCATTCCACTGACTGAGAAAACTGTCTCTCCTTGGTGCAACTTCTCACTGCTGCCCCTACATACTTTCCCCTCTTTTCACATAGCCTGCCCCTTCTTGTATCTCCAATGCACTATTCTGCACAGGCAAAGAGGGGACCTAGCCTGGCACACGGGCAACTGGCTCATGGGAATGTCTGCCAAGAGGAAGACATGTGCGTCTCTCTCTGTCTTAAAATAGAAAAAACTCATTTTGCCCATGGCCAACCAACAGGTCTATTGGGGGACTGACATACCTGGAACATGCCCCAGAGCCAGAACCTTAACCACAGGCAAAGTCTCAGACTTGAGACAAGGCAGCAAAAAACCCCATCCAATGCCTGCATCACTCATTTGGAACACAGGGCAGCCTGAAAAATGGTGGACAGATCCTGCAGCAGCCTCCCTCCCTTCCCCTCAGCTCACCCTGTGTCTTGTTGAATGGGCCCTAGCTCCCAGAGCTGAAGCAGAGCTGGCCCTGTATGGATTCCCACCAAACTGTGCCGGTCATCCATGCCTTGGTTGCAGGAGATGGCCACGTACTGGGAGGCCATGGAGCCTTCAGGGGTTGGGCACCACTCCATGGCCCAGATGGGTCCCCCAACGAAGAAAGTCATGTCCAGGCGTTCCTCATGAGGCTGCAAGGCATTAAACCTGCAAGGTAGGGAATGGGGAGGGGGTGAGACACACAGTTCAGTGGTTGAGCATCTGCTCTGCACGTAGAAAGTTAAAATTCAGTCCTTGAAATTTCTAGTTCAAAGAAACTCAAGTATTAGAGTGGGCAAAGACCTCTCTGCCTCAGACCTTGAGAGATGATGCCAGTCACTGTGGACATGTAAAATACAAGAAATTGGACTAGGGGCATAGCAAACACATGGGAGCAGACTGTAGAACCCATTAGGAACCCAGAAACCCTGAACCAAGAGTCTCAGGGGAGTGGGAGGAGTCTTACTGAGAGCCAGCGTGGTGTGGTGGTTAAGAGTGGCAGATTCTAATCTGGAGAAACGGGCTTGATTCCCCACTCCTCTACATGAAGCCTGCTGGGTGACCTTGGGCCAGTCACAGTTTCTCTCAGAGCTCTCTGAGCCCCACCTACCTCACAAGGTGCCTGTTGTGGTGACAGGAAGGGAAGGCAATTGTAAGCCGCTTTGAGACTCCTTAGAGTAGAGAAAAGTGGGGTATAAAAACCTACTCTTCTACTGGATGAGCAAAAGCTGTGTCCACCCAATACAGGGTATTTGTTACCTGGTATATAAATCTTGGTGGGCTTCCTCATTGCTTTCCCAAACAAATGCAAACTCCCATATCTGCTTTCATCCAGGCTCTGAGACTCAGGACTCAGCTGCAAGCAAGCTGCTTCCAGACTTTGTCCCATTTGCTGCCTGGCCTGAATCCAATGCCTCCAAGGTTTATAAGAAAATCAGAAAGTGGATCACTGCCTCTAAAAGGTCAATGCCCGCCAGACTGAGTTTTCCCTAGTCCCCCATCCTTGATAACATTTAATGTCCAACTATTTATAGTATCCAATGAAGAGGCTTATGAAAGGGAACCCAAACTATTTCTAGCCTATATTTGTACTCCAAAACATAACAATGCCACTCTAACCATGTGGAATCAGCAGTGAATAGGCTGCCTATGTGAGAGTATGCACACTAGGGTCTCTTTCACCACCAAAACATCTGCACCCTAAGTGACCGAATGGGATCATTCCCTCATTTGACATGTCCTTTACTACATCCTGAATAATACTCATGTTGGATTTTCTCAGCTTCAGTCCACTCCCTTCCACAAAAGCCAACAAATACATCTTGTTCCACATTCAATCAAACCTCTGGTACAGAGAGAATATTCCAGAACAACTCAGTTTCTCTTTGAATGTGCTCGTAGCCCTCATTTTTCCAAGAGGAAAATAGCCTTGGGACTCTGGGCACAGTCTGGCAGCAACTCATCTTGCCTTCCTGGATATCTCAGGCCAACCTCTAAGATTAATCTACTTCCTTCCACTACCAATGACCTTGGGGGGAATTAATGACCTTAAAAAAGAACACACCTAAAACCTGGAATCACACTTATGCAAGAATAGTCATATATGCATAATTTCTACTCCTTTTTTTGTGAACCCCCCACCCCAGCGCATCACAGCACCACCCTGTTTTCCCACCCACCCTCCAGCAGACCTGTTAATCCGGTAGAGGATGCTGCTGTCCTCTTGTAGACCTTCCCGCCTGATGGAGAAGAGAGGGGATTTGGTCTCCGCAGGGAGGTATTCGTTCACTTCGCTTTGGGAGATGGAGAACAGAGTGGAAGCTCAGTCCCACGAAACCTTTGATGTAATCCTTCCCTCAACCCTCCCTTGAGAAGCACAACAGCTCCCCCACCCTCGGATCGCAAGCCTCCTTGATGCATGCCACGTGCAGCCTGCTTCCTGATGGGCATTCACAGCCCTGGGAGGTGAAAGAGACAAAATTTTCTGCCACAGCAGCCACAGAGCACACCCCTTCCTTATCAATGCCCTTAACCTTCCTTCTTCCCCTGCCAGTCCAGGTGTCTCTTTGACCAATCACAGCAACCACTGCCATGTGCCTCTTTCCTCACTTGCGTGCTGCCCCCAAGGACAGCCAACATGGTGCAATGGTTAGACTAAGACTGAAGAGCCCCAGGTTCAAATCTCCACACTGCTATGAAGCTCACCAGGTGACCTTGGGCCAGTCACTCTCGTATAGCCCAACCTACCTCATGGGGTTGCTGTGAGGATAAAATGGAGGAGGAGAGACCTATGCACGCTGTCCTGAGCTCCTCCGAAGAAGGGAAGCATAAAATTGGGCTGATCAATATGACACAACAGACAGCTCTCCTGTTCAGCTTCTCTCCCACTGACACCACTCACCTCTCTGACAGAAAGACCCATTTCCGAGCTGAGGGGATCCACTCTGGAAACTCCCAGGGAGAGTGAAGTTGCTCACGCCTGGAGGAGAAGCAAGCACAACCAGAAAGTCACAGGGATGTAACCAAGTTTGCAGGAAAATCCAGCTTTAAACAAAAAGAAAAAGGTAATCTGGGGTTAAACCTCCCACCAGTGCAGATATTGCAAAAAAAACCAAACAAACAAACAATCAAAACAAAAACCTAGGAGGCATTTTGGCAGTGGTCTGCAGGAATCGGAGGGACCCAGAAGAGGGAGGAAAAGGAGACCCAAAGGCAAAGAAAGTGGATTTCCATGCATCCTCCTGGGACCTAGGGCTGCCAAACCGCGGCGGGGGATCCATGCGTTGTCGCAGGATCGCTGCCGCGGAGGGACAGCAATCCGCGTTGCACCGGCGGCAACGGGACTCCAAACAGCCCCGTTGCCAGAGCGACGCGTAGCGTCACATCCTGGTGACGCCGGTGCAACGCGGATTGCTGTCCCTCCGCGGCAGCGATCCTGCGACAACGCATGGATCCCCCGCCGCGGTTTGGCAGCCCTACTGGGACCTACCCCATAAATATAAAGAGTGACATTTTAAATGCTAACAAAGTTATAAGGAATACACTTCATGTTCTTAAACCAGTAAAGTTCATGCTTCAAAGCAAGTACTGTATGTATTTTATATTCTCCAAACTTTTTTTTGCGCCATGGCTTTAGAACGCCAGAGGATCTAAATCTCTAGGCCTCACACAATGTGCCCCTCTATCACCGCCTTGCGGACCCTTTTCTTTAAAATATTTACCACATCCCTGTTTAATGAGCCATATAAAATGATAGCAAACTCACTCAAGACTAAAAACTAAAACGCTAAATCAAAGAGCAAAGGAGACAAAAAATAGGGAGGGGGAAGCAGGAGGCTAGGTGTGTGGCCCAGGGAACGAGATAAGACCTTGGCGAGCTGCTGCCAATCAGAGCAGACGGCACTGAGCTGAATGAAACAAAGGGTTTGCCTCAGGAAAGAGGCAGCTTGATATGACTTCTAAGTATAGCAAAAAGCAGCTTCTCTGTTCACTGCTTGTTTTCTGTTTACAACAGTCCCTTCCCCAAGTTTCCAATGGGATGTGAAAGCAAACAGTGATATAATTAAATTCCACCCAAGGTTATTAGTATATACAGTTGCCAAGTCTCTCTGCTGCTACCAAACTAAAGTCTGTAAGATTTGTTGTGTTCTGGGACTCCAACTTCTGGGCCAGTAGCTGTAGCATCCCCTAGTACAGGGGTCCCCAACCTTTACAAGCCTGCGGGCACCTTTGGAATTCTGACACAGGGTGATGGGCAAAGCCACAATATGGCTGCCACAAAATGACTGCTGCAGGAGGTGGAGCCGGCCACAAAATGGCTGTCATAGCTTACCATCTGTCACACAGTGAAGATCCTTGTACTGTGCTGGCAGCTTTAGCTAAAGCAATGTTTTAAAAAATCTGCACAGCAAATCAAATCTCCAATGGCCAATCAGAAACCTCGCTGAACAAAAGCCCCACCAGACCCCACTCACTTTCTAAAAACACTTGGTGGGCACCAGGAAATGTTTTGGCAGGCACCACGGCACTCACGGCACCACACAGGGAACCCCTGCCCTAGCAACAGAAGCGCTAGCACCCTCAGCACCACAAAAACACTAGCACCTTCCGCGTGGACAAGCAGAGGTATCAGGTGACACCCCTTTGGGCAACACACCAGTGCCAGCCCTCTAACTAGGGGTCATCAGCATCCACTCCAACATGGTCAGACCTGCCGCAGCCTTCCAGTTCCCCAAGCTCACCCACTTATTGAGAAAACCAGGAGAAAAATACACAAGAAACCCTGTACTCACAAGTGATGGGTGACCCTGAGAGACTTCCAGACAGGAGCCATGACAGAGTTGTGTAAGCCGTTGGAGGCAAACCCTCGGCACTGAGCCTTGGGCCGCTAGAGAAAAGAAACTGCCATGTAAGCTGTCCCCAGGATCCTGCAGCCTATTCTCCAAAGCTCACGAGAAAAGCACCTCACCCAACTAAGCCCCCCCCCCCAAGCAAGCTGGCCTCTGTATCTTGAGATCCCCCCTCCCTGCCAGCCTCCTGAACACAAAAGCGCTGGGTTACCGCAGTTCCCCGCAGGCTGTGCTCCAGTTCAGGCTCGGATGCCTCACTCAGCAACATGTCACTCTCCTCCTCTTCCTCCGCCTCTGCCGCCTCCACAAGCCCTTCTTCTGAGGGGACAAAGTCCGCATCCCCATCGTTCTCCAGCTTCTGCTCATGTGGCTTCCGACCCCGCCGTTTCCTGACAGGCTCCTCGGGCTCAAGGGGGCTCTCTGAGGTCCCCTGAGAGGACGGCTGATAGGCAGATGTCAACTCCTCAGCCAGTTCCTGAAGGTACAGAAGGGCTCTGGGAACATACAAGGACACAGGGACATGGGGCTAAGTTGCAGAGCAAGAATCCCACCCGTCACCTTCCATGGCTTGCTGGGCAACAGCAGGACCTGCTCTCAGAACACTCTGTGTGAATCTAGCACTCCCAAGAAAGACAGCAATGTTGGACCAAAACCTTTTGTCACAGCTGTCTCCATTCTACTCATCTAGAAGCAATACTGCTTAATATTTAAAAGCCAAGCTTGTAGGTGTTTGATCAGCCAATGGAAAAAGATGCCCACGAGTATCGTAGATACAGCATTGGGTTGTAGTGGTGTCATTATCTTTAAAGATACGTAAGTGCCATTTGGGGAGAGGCATTTTGGTGTAGTGGTTAGGAGTGCGGACTCTAATCTGGGAGAACTGGGTTTGATTCCCCACTCCTCCACATGCAGCTACTGGTGTGACCTTAGGTCAGACACAAGTTCTTTCAGAGCTGTTCTCCCAAGAGCAGTTCTCAAAAGAGTCCCTCAGACCCATCTACCGCAATGCTCCCTCTAAGCTGTGGAGTCTTGTGAGCAAAAATTCTACTTTGTGAGTTACTAGCATGAAAGTTGTGAGCGAGCAATTTGGTTGCTGCATAAATTTGTTTGCTCTGGAGCCATCCTTCCTGAGCTGAGACAAAAAAGGGTGAGCTGGCTAAAAAGCTGTGAGCTAGCTCACACTGACTCAGCTTAGAGGGAACACTGCTCACAGGGTGTCTGTTGTGGGGAGAGGAAAGGAAAGGAGATTGTAATATGCTCTAAGACTCCTTCGGATAGTGAAGGGCAGGGTATAAATCCAATCTCTCTCTCTCTTCTTTTTCTTTGATACCAGAGGCTCCTAAGATGGGCTTTGATGCAAGATGGGAGGGCTTTTTTCTTTGCGGCTACTGCGTACTCATATGCAAATAAAGGCAGATTAAGTAAATAACTGGTAAGATTTCAATAGCTGATAGCTCTAGAAAAAAAGGCAACTCCGGAAAGCTGCAGAAAGCAGTATCAATTGAGACCAAGAGAAACTTGAGCACAAGTTAAGAGGACAGTGCTGTTATTTAAAACTGCACATGCAAAACATTCCTCAGTGGCATGGAGCCTCCTACTTAATCCCAAACTCAACCTTTTGGGAAGGTATCTTAAACTCTACTTCCCCAGTCATTAACTAGGAAGCTCCTTCTCCAGTCTACCAAATAACTCTTATGTAAGTTGTTTCTATCTGTGCATTCCTTCTATCCAAACCAAGGCCTTAAATCCTCTTCCTTACACTTTAGCAGCCCGGCGCTTTGGACGCCCCCCAGGAGTAGTATCCAGGCAATCTTGGCTCTCCTCACTGGCCAGCGACTTCTGCTGGTGAAGGGGTTCAGTCGACTGGCACTCCAGGCAGCTCTGCCTTGGATTTGCGCCCTCGCTTCTTTGGCACCTTCACAGGCAGAGAAGGGCCATTCTCCGAAGGCCCAGGGACCTCGCCTTGAACTCTGGGCTCCTGAAGAGGGGGGCCTTTGCGAACCACTGCTTTCTTTTTGGGCTTCTGGCCACGGATAGGTTTCTGTTTCAATGGGACGGCTGCTGATACAGCTTCCGGATGAGTAATAGCCATGGCTGTTGACATGTGGATCTCATCTGCTTGGAAACAAAGAGCCAGGTTAATGCAGATGCCGACCACACATGAAGTGATAGAGAAGGACTGTGCTGGGTGAGGCTAACAACCCATCACCTGCATACTTGACCCTTCAACCTCAACTGCCCATGCAGAAAAACAGCTCCAGCCAACTAACCAGTGAATCCAGCAGTTCCATCCAGTTTAACTTCTGCTACCCTCCCCACTTCAGATCCTCACTCTTGCTGCTATAGACCAAAATCCTGAAAGATCCAATAGGCTCTGCAGAACTGTGAACTAACTTTCCACGAGATGTACTGCTCCTCCACACCAGAGTCTCTGCAGGAATCCTGACTGCTAAGAATAAGGGGTAGGATCTATCCTTTCATTAGCAAACCATACCTGCTAGACCAGCCACTTCTTTCCACCCAGTCAATCTCTAATCAGACACACCTCCCTCCAAAATCTCCATGAATGGGTGCAGAAAGGCAAACTCTCTTTCAGGGCTTGTCTCATGCTGACTTGAGCACAATGAGAAATGGCTGACGAACTGGGCTCTGAGACAGTGTAGCAAATGCAAAGAGAAAGAGGGACTTAGCCTGTAATCCACCTGGTTTCTCTCTTATGCTCACTGATCCTGCAAAATATTCTCAATAAGCCATTTTTTTTTATTCTCCTCTTTGCAAAATGGATAGACAGAAGGATTTCAGTTTCTGGCCATGGCAAAAAAGAGGCTCATTAGAGATAGCAAAACACCCAGAAACATACCAGAAGCTTCCTGATGGTCTGTTTCCTCAGGTTGTTTCTTCAGTTGCTTAGGAGGCGGCTCACCTTCTGCTGTCTCCCGTCCTCTCTTCTTGCAGCAGGAGCTCTGCCACTCTTCTTGGAGATGGCTTGCCACATTGGGGGCGACTGCTGTGTCTGCTTCACTCACAACCGCTCCAGTAGAGGTCACCACCTCCAAGGCTGTATCAATCTGCCCACCCCAGCAAGTGTTCTCTGAGCAAGTCTCCATGCAAATGGGCAGGCTGGCACCTCCATCCACTTGCTCTATGGCTTTCTTGGCTATCCCCATGGCACAGCCGGATGTGGGGCAAGATTCCATGAAGGCGCCACAGCTGTTCAGGCAGGTGCTATTCCTCCCATTGCGTTCTAGGCTCTGCCTGAAAGAAAGAGATGGAAATGAAGGAGTGTACAAACTAGAAAAACCATTGGAAGACCTGTATTGTTTGAAATTAAGTCAGCAAATATAGAAAGTAATAACGGTGGTTCAGTTGGAAGTGACAAGACAGAGTACAAATCTAAGAACACTGCAGAGCTAAAAATACACAGGGGCTGAGAAACCTTTCCAGGTTAGATAAGAAATAAACAGGTACATACAAGCACACATACTTTTTTTTTGCTGCCTGTAGGATGTTGCTGGGCTCATTACTTTCAGCAACCTGATCTTTGAGCAAGGTGTTTCTTCACTAAACAATACCTTGAATGGGGCAGGCACTCTTACAGCAGGCCATCTTTGTTTTGCTTCCTCAGAATGCTGCAGTATTAGTAGTGTACATTAATCCAGAGGGGAATTAGTATGGGTTTGGACGACTTGTCCCTGCTGTCTCCTCTACCACTGTGTCATTATCACTTATTAAGAGTCCTTGGTATGGCCTACCTCTGCCATATTCATTTTGTGGCTGCAGCCAATTCATTCAGCTTTAGATCTCTGTCTTTAAAAGGGGCATAACAATTATTCTTCCCTCACATGGAAGGGGGGCCCTAAGGGAACCCCCCCAAAAGAATTTTGCAAATTAAAAATTCTAGTGAAAGAACAATACTAACTGTATACAGCGGTGATGCATTACCTCAGAAATACTATAACACTCCTGCAGAGTATGTCAATATTATGTCCACAGTGCAGATGACAGTGGAATCATGGTTCATAGTGGCTTGACTAACGCCATGCGAGAACATCATGGCCGAGTAGAGACTTGATGAAGGTGCTTCCAGCTAAACTGCAGTTAAAAAGTAACAGCTGAGGAATGCATTTAGTTCTCTCACAGTTAATAAAGATATAGATTGCCACTGATATAGTGCTTTCAGTGTTCAAAACACTTCACACAAATAACTCCAGTAACCTTTATAACCACTCTGTAAGGGGTGTGTGTGTCAGTATTTCCCCTGAAAAAATATTGGAGGGGGGAGAACTCTCCTGACATTTCTGGATACATATAGATCCAGCCAGGCTGCCTGCCATCTCCCCCACAACACATCTGCAGTAGTACTCAGAAAGGGGTTAGATGTGTCATTTTAAACAGGCACCACACACAAGGGGCTTGCTCTAGTTTCAGTCTCTCCCCCCCCCCATTGCAACTATTTGCCGTGCCAATATCGGGCTAGGGCAACCCAGTACAAATCCCCATTCGTTAGGCAACCTGAGCCACTCACTCTAAACCTCACCTACATCACAGGGCTGTTGTGATAATAAAAGTAAAGGTAAAGGTTCCCTTGCTCGAAAGCCAGTCGAATCCGACTCTAGGGTTGCGGTGCTCATCTCCGTTTCCAAGCCGAAGAGCCACGCTGTCCAAAGATGTTTCCGTGGTCATGTGGCCGGCATGACTAAACACCAAGGCGCACGGAACGCTGTTACCTTCCCACCAAAGTGGTACCTATTTATCTACTTGCAATTTCTTGCTTTCGAACTGCTAGGTTGGCAGGAGCTGGAACTAGAGACGGGAGCTCACTCCGTCTTACGGCACCCGGGTCTTGAACTGCTGAATTACTGACCTTCCACAGCCTGCAAGTTCAGCGTCTTAACCACCTGAGCCACCACAGCTCCTCTGTGATAATAAAATGGGCGGGTAAAACTATATTCGATGAGCTCCTTAGAGAAAAGTCGGAAAAGAAACGCGACAGATGTCTCCCGAATGTGACTGGCTCCTTTGTAACCTGGACGGCAGATGCCACCAGCTAGGCCAGTGACAGTCGGAGGGATTCAAATCAGTCCGCAAGAAGCTCTCTCCTAGTTGGGGGGTTCTACAGGGGCCACGCGGGGTGCCGCGGCCCGGAGCAACACCAAGAACCTCTCCCTTCCTGTCGGACAAAGGAAAAAGCCCAAAGAGCTGACCAGCCGTCCTCTCGCCACTCTCACCTCGAACCGCCTTTTCTTCACAGAAACCGGTCGGGAGGAGGGGTGGAGGAGCAATCAAGATGGCGGCCGTTACGGGCTCGTACTGATGACGCAGGCGACTCAACGTCTTTCGAGCACGCGCTGGTTTTCTGCACGTGATACGAGGAACGCGCTGCTCTGCTGGGGGGTGGAAAATGGACATGGGCCTGTAAATTTTTCTGTGGGAGCACATAGAGCTACAGAAATCAGGTCGCTTGTGGCTAATATGCAGCGTTGTGAAGAGTACGACTCGCTTTCCTTTCTGCTCCTGTCTGAACAGCTGACTTAGAATAGGGTTGCCAAACACGAGGTAGCGGCTTGAGATCTCCTAGGGTTGCTAGGTCTTGGTTGGAAAATACCAGGAGACTTTGGGGGGTGGGGTGGGGGTTGATCCAGGAGAGGACGGGGTTTGGGGAGGGGAGGGGCCTCAGCATGGTACAATGTCATAGACTCCACCCTTCAAAGCAGCTATTTTCTCCAGGGGAACTGATCTCTGTCAGCTGGAGATCAGTTGTAAAAGCGAGAGATCCCCAGGCCCCACCTGGAGGTTGGCAACCCTAATTTGGGGTGGATCCGGGAGAGAGCGGGGTTTGGGGAGGAGAGGGGCTTCAGCCGGGTACAATGTCATAAGAGTCCACCCTTCAGAGCAGCCATTTTCTCCAGGGGAGCTGATCTCTGCCAGCTGGAGATTAGTTGTAAAAGTGGGAGGCCCCACCTGGAGGTTGGCAACCCTGAGATCCCCTGCTATTACAACAGATCTCCAGATGACAGAAATAAGTTCTGGAGAAAACGGCTGCTTTGAAGGTGGACTCTATAGCACTGTACCCCACTGAAGTCCCTCCCCTCCTTAGGCTCCACCCCCAAAATCTCCATATATTTCCCAACCCAGAGCTGGCAACCCTAGCTTAGGACCATATTGCTATGATGACTATAACTGCACTAAAGTTTCAAAAGAACATCGCACTCTAATGATTTCTTTCCTGAGGATTTTAGAAAAATCCCCATAAAGAACTGGTGGTTGCAGGTCATACTGATAAAAAAATAGCAATCTGACTAATTCCATTATTTTAACAATGTCCCCAGGTTCACATAAATCAACCTTACCCCAAAAAAATTATTTCTGCTTTTCACACCTCACTATAGTTATCCCTTTCCCTCCACCCTAAGTACCACTCAGACAATCAAATACACCCTACAACAGTTAGTAACCAGCGAAACATTCTCTTCCTTCCCCACTCGGGCCATCGTGCAGGCTAGCCCACTCACAGAAACTAAGCATGGTTGGCCTTGGTTAGTATTTGTATGGGAGACCACTAACAAAGCCCAGGGTTGCTACACAAAGGCAGACAATGGCAAACCTCCCCTGTTCATCTCTTGCCTTGAAAATCTTCCAGGGTGGCCATAAATCAGCGGCACTTTCCACCATCGGTTTCCTACATCACACTCATGGTACAATATCCTTCCCTAGATTATAGCCCACACTTTTTTTTTGTTTGTTAAAAGCCTACTAGGATCACACCAATAACCACCCTGCTACTTCATTCTCAAGCCAAGCTAGCAATAATCCTCACTTCGCTCTGCTGGACTAAGCCTGTAGAGTTGCCACCTCTGGGTTGAGAAATATCTGGAGATTTTGGGGGTGGAGCTCGAGGAGGCCAGGATTTGGGGAGAGACATCAATGGGGTATAATGCCATAGACCACCTTCCAAAGTGGCCATTTTCTCCAGGTGAAATTATCTGTCATATGGGGATCTCCAGCCACTATCTGGAGGTTGGCAACCCTAGCAGGGAATCATATTTTCAGGGAGTAGCCATGTCGATCTGCAATAGAACAGCTAGAATCAAGTCCAGTAGCTCCTTAGAGGCCAACAAGATTTGAGTATAAGCTTTCAAGAGTCAACGCTCCCTGTGTCGGATGAAGGGAATGATCATATATAACCAATGGAAAATGGAAATCCCCTGGCTCTGTTATTTACCCCAGCACTTAATATTTGGATCTCATTATTATGACCAATTGCTATTTAGACATCTCCTGCTCCACAATTTTATCCCATTTTTGACATAACCACCTAAAGCTGGTGACCACTGCTGTATCTTGTGATAGTGAATTCCACATGTGGCTCTCTCACTGAAATGGCATCACTAGATAATGACAGATGGGTGCAGAAGTTTTTAATTCCAAAGCCCCCCCCCGCCTTAAAACCACGTAAAGTAGGAAGGACAAAAGGGTTATGGGTATAGAAAGTTTCCATTTGTCTCAGTGTGAATAAGGTTTATTTGAACAAGCAGGCGAGATCACTTAGAAGCTCCTGGACTCCAACCTCATATAAGAAAAATATATTACTCTCTTCTCCTCCACCTTCCCTGTCATTGGCAAAATATTCCAAAAGTAAATTTAGCTGACAATTTTATGTTTTTAACAGAATATTATGCAGCCCAAAGCCACAACCAAGAACCCAAATAGTGCATTGCTCTATTATGAATCAATATTATTCCAAGATACAATAAATTTCACAGCCTTATTGCCAACTACCCCTTCTGCCTACACAAGGTACACCTGAGTATTTGGATGTGGGTATGCACCTTTCCAAGCAAGTCTGCGAGAAAGAAGTCATACTCCAGAACTACAGTTTAAGGAAAGAGGGTTCCCACTATTTGGCCCTGACTAGCAAGCGAACCCAGGATAAGAAACATAGAGCTGGAAGGGATCACAAAGGTCATCTAGTACAACCCCCTGCACAATGCAGGAAAGTCACAACCAGTGTTCCCTCTAAGCTGAGTTAGTGTGAGCTAGCTCACAGTTTTTAGCCTCCAGCTCACACATTTTTTGCCTTCGCTCAGGAAGGATGGCTCCAGAGCAAACTAATTTATGCAGCAGCCAAATGGCTGGCTCACAACTTTAATGCCAGGAACTCACAAAGTAGAATTTTTGCTCACCAGACTCCACAGCTTAGAGGGAACATTGGTCACAACTACCCTCCCCCCATTTCACCAGTGACCCGGCCGTGGTCTATGTCCAGAGAAAGGCAAACAACAAGAAAAACCCTCCAGGATCCCTGGGCCAATCTGGCCTGGAGGAAAATTCCTTCCTGATCCCAAAGTGGTGATTAACAGTACCCCGGGCATGTAAGAGTCATGAGAGCTGAGCACTGGCTCATCCCTTCCTGCCCTTCCACTCACAATCTGCCTAAAGTCACAGAATCACCATTGCTGTCAGATGGCCATCTAAGCCTTTGCTTAAAAACTTCCAAAGGAGAGCCCACCACCTCCTAAGAAAGTCTGTCCCACTGAAGAACTGCTCTGTCAGGAAGTTCTTCCTAATGTATAGCTGAAAACTCTTTTGACTCAGTTTCAGTCCATTGGTTCTTGTCTGACCTTCTGGGGCAACAGAAGACAACTTTGCTCCGTCCTCTATCCGACAGCCTTTCAAATACTTGAAGATGGCTATCATATCATGTCTCTGTCCTCTCCAGGCTTAACATGCACAGTTCCTTCAACCTTTCTTCATAGCAGTTGGTTTCCAGGCCCTTCACCACCACCTTTGCCCTCCTCTGGACACGTTCCAGCTCATCAACATCCTTCTTAAACTGTGGCACCCAAAACTGTGCACAATGTTCCATGTGAGGTGTAACCAGAGCGGTGATAGCCAGGGCTTTTTTTCTGGGGGAATGTGCCGGAACAGAGTTCCAGAGGCCTTCAACAACATATTGGAGTTCCAGAACCTCTTTGACAAAATTCTTTTTAAAATGTTTAAAAGTTTATGAGTTTTTAG